TACATTCATCATGTACATTCTTGCAATTAGACATTTACCAAATAAAAATTGTAAAAATTCACTAAAAAAAAAATAGAAAACCAAAAAAAAAAATATAAACAATTAACAAATAATTCCAGTTGTTTTTACAATTTAAATTTCTAAATTGTTTATCAAAATAAATTTTGTTAATTTTTTCCTAAACTTGCGCGCAAGCTAAAGCTCAAGGTTTACTGAAATATCGCGCGAGAATTAAAAAATGCGAAAATTGCGGATAAAGTTAATTACTTAATCGTTAGGGTCGACGGAACTGGCGCTAAACCCGCATTGCCTGAAAATGAAATTATGTCACTTTCCCATGTCTGAAAAAAGATTTTACGCAAGGGAAATATTTCCATCTCACTTTTTTGTTGCAAAGGTGTGTGTGTGTGTGCGCGCTTTCGCAAGAAAAACGAAAACGTTGTACAATGAAAAAAGAAAATCATGAATATATATATATATATATATATATATAGATAGATATATACTGAAAATGACAGAGACAAAGAAACGCCTAGAGTTTCTGCAAATAATTGCTAGGTAACGATGGAAGGTCTGCGCGAATTTCCAGACAACGTTAATCGTATTTAAAATAGAGAAAATTTATCATGCTTCGCTTCGCACTTGGAGAATGAAAGAGAGAGAAGGAGAGAGTGTTAAAATTAACGCTGCCATACAATTTGTTCTCCGGAAAGGAGTGGACTAACAACCCCTGCAAATTATTCCTCGAGTGTTTATCGGAGAGAGACAATCATTTTAAGAAGGAAGTAATGGGCTTTCGAAGAATTTACCCACCTACCGAACCATACTATTGATTTCACTCAACAATTTAACTACCGTCTACCTTCAACTTTCAAGTATAATAATAATCATTATAACTCAAGATATAAATACGTCAATTATATATAATTTATATTTATATAATTTATAATTACACAATTTATAATTATTATTTATAATTATCGAAATAATATTTTATTCAAAATAACTAAAATTGATATTACTGGAAATTATAACTATCAGACAAAATTTCTAAATATAAAAAATATAAATACCTATATATACACCGACTAATTATCAACTTTTCATTACCTTGGCAAATTTTTTTTTTTAAACAAGAAAAAACCAATTAACATGATCATTTTAAAACACTAAAATAATTTTCTCGATATATTTTCTATAATGAAGCGTAAAAAGCGAGTTTGGTATAAAATTTTTGAAAAGAGAAAAAAAAATAGATTGCAGATTACGCTGTTTTGTTGCCAGTAGATTGAAGGTTAATCAGATTGTTCACGTCATTGTACATCCGATAAAGAAAGTTCTACCCATTTTACCAGTCAATTTGAAAAGAAGAAAGGGAAAAAGTTACAAATATATATATATACGCAAAGAGAGAGAAAGAGATGTATGCGCGCAGTTGAACTCAAGCTCCATTTGATGGCGGAAAAGAAACTCGACAACAAATGGGCAAAGTCTGTTGCGGACAACGTTCAGCCTTGAGTCATTTGACGCCTCATTTCTGCCACTATATACAAAAAAAAAATGAAAAAAAACAGGATAACGACCGTGTCTTGCTTCTAACCGCGTATACCTATACTGAAAACAGAAAAATATATAGATCAATTATGGGTACTTGCTGTAAGTAAACGGGGTCATAAGTCATTGATGTCCAAGCATCAGTACCGAATAAGCTACTATAGAGAAAAATTCTTATGTACCTTTGAGAGTTCATTATTAAACTACTTGAAAAAAAAACATATTTATTTTCTTTTTTTTAACTTCAAACTATTCCACTTTTAACCCCTTGATACACCGTCCGACAAAATTCAACTTTTTTTTTTGACCCACAAAAAAATCCAACATTTTCGGAATCTAGGACCCAAAAAAAAATACCTGTGTCTGGCTGTTTTGCTAGATCAAGTCGTTTGTGGTTTTTATAGGGGTGAAAACAGCCCCTAAATAAAAAGTGACAAGATATCTTTTAAAAATTATTAATATTTTATAAAACTTGGTACCTGGGGGTTTTCGGGGCCGCTGATTATTAATCTGATGTCATATTTTAAAAATTCAAAATGGCTTATATTCAATATGGCGGTCAAAAATTTAAAAAGTTATTAAATTTTTTTTAAACCTTGATATCTAGGGGTTTTTTGGGTCGCTGATGACGAATCAGATGTTAAATTTTCAAAATTCAAAATGGCAGATATGAAATAAAAAATTAATAACTTTTTAAAAGTTTGATCGCCATATTGTATCCGCCATTTTGAATTTTGAAAATCTGACATCAGATTAATAATCAGTGACCCCGAAAACCCCCAGATACCAAGTTTTATAAAATATTAATAATTTTTAAAAGATATTTTGTTACTTTTCATTTAGGGGTTGTTTTTACCCCTAAAAACTACAAACGACTTGATCTAGCAAAACGGCCAGACACGGGTATTTTTTTTGAGTCCTAGTTTCTAAAAATGTTTAAATTTTTTTGTGGGTCAAAAATTGTGTCGGACGGTGATATAATCTTAAACTAAAAAGTTCCTTTCAACAACAAACAAAGCTACACTGAAAAAAGGGTTTGGTATTAACACACAAACATTCGGTTGGTATTTAAGCAAACAAAATTTTTTTGTTGAATCACCAAAATTTTGGTTGTCCCAATCAAACTTTAGTTAGGACAACAAAAATTTTTTTTTTCTAATTTTGGTTGTGTCAAACAAATTTTGATTGAGACAATACAAAATTTTGTTAATTCAACAAAAAAATTTTGATTGCTTAAATACCAACCAAACGTTTGGTTGTCAATACCAAACTCTTTTTTCAGTGTATATAATTAAAATTGCAAATCATCAAATTTTGAAAAATTCAGTTGTATAATTTTCAAAATAAAATAAAAAAATACAAATTGTTAACTAATCATTAAATTGCCAACATATTTTGTCTCAAAATAATTGCTTTTTTTGAAAATTTTACAAAAATCATGATAATTTTGAAAGAAGAACATTTAAGAAAACCATTTATATACTTTTTCCTACACTTTTATACCAAGTGAGATGAAAATTAAAGAATAGAAAAAGAATATAGAATAGAAACTAAAACACTGGAATAAATAAACAACAATCCTCTTCTACATCTAATTTAGAATAATTAATAATTTTCTTAATTATACTCAAATGTAATTTTACTTTTAAAATAATTGGGGCAAATTATCCACATTTTTCATTCATGAGATTAAATTAGCATAAAGCTTTTGATAATTCAAGGAGAAAATTAGCATAAACAGTTTCTTAAGATCAAGTAAGCATCGATCAGCATTATTTAAAAGTGTCTACGTCTGTACATACTACAAAATTCTTTAGTCTAAAGTCAGCTCGAATATAAGGAGTTCCACTTATCTTGGCAGATTCATAAATTAAATCAAATATAAACCTAAATTTTTAACAACTCTAATAAACATATTAATTGATATAGAAAATTTTTTCAAATTCTTTTTCGTGTATATTTAATTAAAATTGACAAATACTTTAAATTAAAAAAATTTATGTTTCAATAAAAATCGATAAATATATCAAATAAAAAATAAATAATTTCTCAATTTAATGAATTGTTCTCAACAACAATAATGAACCTAATTGACATACATTCTACCGCATATATAAACTTCATACATTTTCTAATGATGTATAATGTATAAACTTCTTAAAGAAGGTCAGTGTTCTTAGAGAGAATACTAATTAATTAGTTCATGTACAATTCTAGTTTGATATCTTTTAAAGAAAATATATATATGTGTGTATTTCTATGCCAAAAGCGAATAATTTATTAACGAGAGCCAACTTTTGGATGAATAATCAAAGCCAACTGGAAGGACTTGGTTAAATAATAAATGTTAATGTGCGCGTGAAAGCTCATGAGTTATGAGGTTGTAAGCGAAGTGAAACAGTTGAATTTCTTATTCAAGGAGTATAGTAGTAGGTAGCGCAACGAAACGGGAACACAGGGGCCTCGCTTTTTGCGAGAAATGTGACATTCGCAAGACTGCGTCCCCCGACAGAATGATGTAAATCACGTTCGGCATTAGCATATCTTCGCCTGCATTATTTATGCACCCATTATGAGACCACAAGGAAGAAAAGGAGAAAAGAAATCGGAACATTATTGCCGAATACATTGCTCTCTTTTATTCAAAAGTGTTTTTTTTTCTTTATCGAAAAACTTACCTAAAAAATTTCGTTTTAGCTAATTAATTAAAAATTATTAAAAATCTATCATTATATACTATATAGATTTATGCAAACTCCTTAAAGCAAATTCTAGTCGAAAACTAATAGCAACTTTCGCATATCGTAGAAAATGTTGACTATTTATTAAACCTAAAGGGTAAATAGGGACGTGCTTAACGATGTGTCAAGTTCATATATATATATGAATATATAGATATATAGAGAATATTGTAAAAGGTTATAGAGAAATAACCCATGGTGATGTCAAAATTTTTCAACATTTGATTTATCGTTGCTTTTTCAGTCTAAACTGAAACAACCATATATATATTAAGACCCTAAGGGAAACCATAAAGGTTTTTCATAATGGCACCACCTGTGCCACCATTATCGTACAGCTTTTTGGCTCACAAATTAAACATACATGATCGTTAATACCATAAGTAACTGATAATATTAATAAACATCAATATCTGCTATATTATCAAATATCATATTTAAATTAAATTTAAATAAAATAATTAATAATCTTAATAAATATATATATTATGAAGGATAAAAACAATAATTTCAAAGTAAAAAGAAAATCTTAAATAAAATAAAATTTATATAAAAATAAATTTAATACTGAACAGAAAATAAAGTAAAGCACCCTTAAAAAATGTTGGAACTTAAAATAAAGCTCTATTTTTCTTTAAAATAAGATTTTCTTTTTACAGTGATGATTCAATGCTGTCACTATAAAGAAAATTAAAATGGACTCACCGATCGTTGATATTCACTGTGACACGTAGACAACATAGCAGCATTTGCAAAAAAACGTTTTTCAACCATCCATCGACATTCATTGACGTCACTGTCTTTTAGATCTATTTTCCTGTCCTTTTCTTTAAAATAGCATCATTTAATTCTGTAAATAAAAACAATTACATTAATAAAATCTCGTCATTTTTTTTTTACAATTATTTAATAATATTATTTATATTATTTATATCGAATATATTTTATAGAGGAAACTTTTTTTTAGATACTTTAAAGCATAGAGAAATTTTTTAATCGGTTTTTTTATATTGTGTGAATGTAAATTGCATTTTTTTTTGCCTTTTACTGTTTTTACTACAATTTTAAACATATATATTTTTTTTTTCTGTATCCGTGCTTACAATGAAAGTTAATCAAATTAAAGTACTCTATTCTTGTTTCCCAATTGTATTGCATGTTCTCGATAGGATATAGTTACATCTGTCAGTGGATTATTGCTCGCTCATCTGAATCGTGCTTAATATTGCAAAACGGTTATGCTTCACTGTTACAAAGCCGCAAAATAATTTTTATACGCTTCACTGGAGCTTTTGTCATGTGGACATAAAAAAATCGATATTCAAAAATATTATCCTAATATTTTGTTTTAAATTTTCCAAAAATACATGAAATTTCTACTTATAAACAAAATTCCCAACATCCTAGTACTCATAAATTTACAATATAATAAATATATATTAAGTTTTTAAAAAATCGTTATTTATTAAAAAAAAAACAGTTATTTAAAATTTTTTAATTGCTTTTAAAAAAAACTGTATCTAACGAATATAAAAAAAAATATATATATATATTTAAAACAGTAACAAGAATATAGAAGCAAAAAAAAAAAAGTTCCTCTACAATTTCACAATTTAATTCCCTTTTACTAACAAGCAAGCGTTTTCTTCGATTATCAGAAAAATCTGAATAATGATTTGTTAGCGTGTTTCGTACGCTGTACATACAGAACTCTTCAAACAATTGAGGTCACAAATATTACCTTTGTCAGAAAAATTAATAAAATAAAAAATCTCTTGCAAATCGAATAATTGTGGGAAAAATTGATAGAAATTTTTAATTGACATTCTTTTCAAGAAAACCAGTACAAAATATAAAACTAGAGAAAAATATCAAAAATGTATTTCAATGCTTTAAAGATAAATTTTGAAGGACAAATATTAATTAATTTTTTTAATTTAATATGTAAAAATTTTATAAATAAAAATTTTTATTTTAATAAATTATAATTATAATAATAAAAAAAATTATAAGTGTTGAAGAACAAAAATTTTTTAAAAGCTTAAAATTTGTTTTAAAAAAATTTAATTTTTTTTGTTTGTTTTAAATACCTTTATGTTAGAAAATAAAAAAAAATTATTTCTAGAAAATTTTTACTTGTAAAATAATAAATTTTTATAAATGATTCTAAAAAGTAATAAGTGCTGACATCTTCCAACGTTACGCTCCACTTCTACTTTTCCAGTATAAATTACTGAATTCTTTACTTGGCCGATAAAATTGAAAGTTACTACTTTGAAATTAATTTTTTTTTTCAAAAAACCCAGATCGAAAAAAAAGAATTTAAGAACATTGTAAAAAGAAAATCTTATTTTAAGAGTATAAATGAATTTTATTTTAAATTGCAACATTTTTAAGACAAGCTTCAATTTAAATTAAGATCCATCATTATTTTCATAACTAATTTACTTTAAAAATTTTATAATATTAGATTTTCTTTTTACTGTGAAATAAATGTACTAAAAACAAAATAATTTAAATTAATAAAAATATTATTTACCATTGTAGTGAATTCCCTTGTTTTTAAGTGTTACTCGTCAAATCATTGGAATTCGGAGATCCCTCCTCTGGATTAAAGACAAAATTTTGAAAATAATCTTTTATAAGGAGACCGGATTTCAATAATTCGATTTGTTTCACTTATTGCCGAAATCTGAATTTCCTGTGAATTCTAATGGCCAGGATCGAAAGTACCTGAAAAAAGAAAAATATTTAATTTAAAAAAGTTACAAATATTAATTTTATTAAATAATTTTGAAGATTTTAATAAGTTAAATAATTAATGTAATTTGAATAACAATTTTTTTTAAATATACGTTGGGATAACTATTTATTATAGGTTTCTATTAAATTTGAAAAATATATTAATGGTTTTATTTTTTTAAATACAAAACTTACCGATCAGGGAATTCCAAATGGCAATGACTGCATTTTGAGGACAGTTTTTGATCATTTTCATTGTTTTTTCTTCGAGTTCTTTGGTTTTTAGTCTGAAAATAAAAATAATGTTAATAAATCATTAACAATAAATTACTTTCTAAATGTAAATTAGTTAATATTAATTATTAAAATCAATGAATGATGTTTTGCTACATAAATTATAGACAAAATTGAAACTAATTCAAATTTGACATTACACCAGAATTTCCAACAATATTATTATCATTGCCTATTCATAAATTGAGTCAATTATTTTCTTTACAATAGAATTTGAATTTACATCTTAGAATATGAGTTCCGACTCTCTTATATTATTATACATTGAGAAGAAATAATAGAACAATGTCACAAGAGATTTAATTCGATTCGCGATGATAATTCATCATTATTATTCTGGGGATTAACATAATGAAGCATATAGTCACTTGTGGTCGCGAAACTAATGATTTCAATATATTGCTCTCTCTCTCTCTCACGTTGAACCACGGATGGATAGATGGATGAATCAGACACATCCTACTTTACATATAATGTGATCCCATAACTTATAACGTATATATATATATATATTCAGACGATAATTCGGTCCAGCGAACTATGGCTCGCTTTATGCACAATGCCATATCCACCTTGAAGAGAAGACTGCCAAAATATTTAGATCCATCTTTACATCCGAATGAGGGTTGATTAATGGAAGACATTAATCAACAAGTCCAATGTAACTGGACGAAGAATTTAATATGAACGGCGCGAGAGTGAAGACTTATCTCGAATATTTTTATAAAAATAAAAAAAAAAAAAAAATTTTATCCCTATTCTCAAAAATAATATTTTAATTTTAAAATTAGACACATCTGAAAATATTCGTTTTCTTTTACAGAATTTTTTTTTCGTTAACAATTCATTTTAAAACCAAGAAAACTAACTACGCAAAAAGCACAGCTTCTTGTTGCATAGTAATATGTATTCTGAAAACTCCAAACATGCAATCCAAGAGCAAAATAACGCAGAGGAAACAAACGAGGTCTGGGGAAATATTTCACATATTTTTGCTGGAGATTAATACTGGCTACTAAACTGGTTGAATTCGCCATGCGAAAACTCATATGAAAAACAACCCTCTCTCTCTCTATGTCTGTGGCTATACCATAAAGGTCGCAAACAATTCAAGCGTGACCACATAATAATCAGTATTAAAAAAAAAAAAATTCAAACATAGCTAATTTGAATAATTCAGCGATCAAGTATTTCATATATCTCTCATGCACTATAATTTTAATAAAAAATTAAAAAAATAATTACTTTAAAAAATATTTAAAAAAATTAATTATGGGTGATAATTAATTTTTAAAAAAGGATATTTTTGTAATATTTTTTCGTTAAGATTCATCGTTGATGAAATTCTAAGTTATTTATTTCTGTGTTTTTAAAAAAAAAAACGAAAAAAGCCATCGAAACTTTTTTTGACACATTATTTCATCATAGTAAATTCATGATATTAGGTAAATTCCGTATTGAACTATTAATATTATAACGACTAGCCACATAATGTCCACAAAATTCCCTCGACTAGTATAGAATGCATATACCTAGCTGTACATAAACTTCTCGAACTCTATGTAATCATTTAAATTCTCAAAAATTATTCACAAAACTATATAATTAACATTTACGCGGCTTATAGTAAAATATTGTGTACTTTAAAAAAAATGTGAATATTCGTTTATAAATTAAATGTACCCAATTCACTAACAAACATCAATTTACAAAATTACATAATATACAATATAATTATAAAAAAATATAATTATTTAATAAAATAAAATTAATTAATAATACAATAAATGCTATTTATTTTAATATATTATTTGTATTTATTAATTTTATTCAAAAATAATAATTATTATTATGTTTAAATTGTATTAATAATAAAAAAAAATAATACTCAAGCTGTTAGGTAGACACGTGAAATATTTTGCGTAAATCAAAAGCAAAAAAAAAAAAAAAAATGGCAAGAGTGAAAAATCTTTGAAAGGACAAAACCTGAAACAAAGTACTTTACGGCAGTACCACAAAGGTCGGAAAAACTAGTGAATAATGTTCTCCCAGGAAATCGAGAATCCCCATTTTTCATCTAGCAAAGGACAAGTAGAAAAGAACGAAAGCTTTTGTTTCTGCCAAAAATTTTGTGGCATTACGAACAATCGATCTCAGTCTACATTCAAGAGAATAAACTAAATCACGTGTTACTATTGTCTTTTAAGAAAGAAAAAAAAATTACTAAATAAACTTTTAGTTCGTTTCACACGAAAAACAATTTTATATCAATTGTATATTTATTAAATTGAATTAAATAAATTTTAAAAATTAAAATTAATTAAAAATTTTTAATTTTCAAAATTTACGAATGTAAAATGATGTATAATTAAAACACAAAATAATTATATTTACCATTGTAGTAAATTCCCTGCTTGTTTCCAAGTGTTACTTGTCAAATCATTGAAATTCGGAGATCCCTCCTCTGGATTAAAATCAAAATTTTGAAAATTTTGAAAATAATCTTTCACAAGGAGACCGGAGTTCAATGATTCGATTCGCTCCACTTGCTGCCGAAGTCTGAATTTTCTGTGACTCCTAGTGGCCATGATCGAAAGTAGCTAAAAAAAATTATATTTTTATTAAGAATTTAATAAGTAGGATTAATTTTAGAAAATTAAATAAATTCAATAATTACAAATTTTGTTGCATTATTTTTTAAAATAAAAAACTTACCGATCAGGGAATTTCATGTGGATGATTGACTTATTGGAGAAAGTTTACGATAGTTTTAATTTTGTTCTCAGATTTTTCTTGTTTTTAATCTGAAAATGAAAAATGAATTGAATAAGTTCAAAATTGGAATTACAGCAATTTTGAGGTTATGTGGGTGTTGAGTTAAAAATTTAACTAGTTCATATTTATAGAAAATAAAAAAAAAAAAAATTTTAATTTATTTTCACACGAAAAAAAAGTCTTACCTGAAACAGCTAAAGCTTTCACTAGAATTGCAAAAGTTATAATTATTTTTATTAAACCTTTGACGAATCTAGTAAAACTTTTCGCTGTTTAAGAGGAAACTTTTTTTACATGTATATAATTAAAGATCACTCGTCTTTAATATTAGCCATTTTTTTTTTTTTTTTTTTTTTTTTTTTCATTGCTGAAGGCAGTCTAATACCAGTTACGTAACCTCAAAACTAAACATTTTTATGCAAAGAAAAGGAAACCACAATATATTAATTATTTACCAATATATTTCGAAAGAATTATTCATTTTTTCTTCAAACTTCAGTTTTAGGTTATGTTCGAGCATTTGAGAAAATAAATTTTATTGTTTAATATATCAATAAAATTGACAATAAGATTATTAATTTGACATTATTTTTGAGAAATAATGTAAAAAATATACATATATATTATACCACAATTTCTGAAAATATTCAATGAAGCAAATTTTCACTGCACCAATAGGTGTTACGTATATTTGATACAGTACAATAATGTTAATTTTTAATATATATTATATATCACTAACCTTTTAAAACCAGAATCGATCGTCTAAAACAAATAACAAGTAGAAAACTCAACAATTGAGTGAACAAAATGTTTCTTCTACTGTGCAAACCAAATGCCGTGTGTTGCTGACGAACAGGGAATCAAAATGGCGTCCAGGGACGCCATCGTTGTACAACGGCTACAATTTTGGCGGGAAACAGAAGTGGCCTTGACTTCCGTTTTCGACACTGTCGGTAAAACGATAGCCTCTCTTATTGCACGATAGATGTCAGCCAACGTTTTTTCCCTTCATCGTTACAGGCGCGCTAAATTTAAAAATGAAAATAAGATTTCGTAAGAAATAATAATTTATTTTAAATGTAATCCATAAAAAGAAAATCAGTTTAAGAAATAACTAAATTTAAAAAAAAAGTAAAATTAGTTTCACCAATTTAAACAATTAAAAGAATTTTATCAATTTTATTTACAAAAGCATACCACATGTCCATGTGATCATTTTTAGGTTATGTTCTATAATCGTAGTGATTGTTGTGGTTGTATCACAAATAATCTGTTGGAAATTTATTTATTTATAACAATAAATTAGAAATATGAAGTAAAATGCTTATGAAAAAATGAAAAAGCCATTGTTAAACGGGCATGTCATTTTACTGTCATTGTTATTTAGTAATTAAAAAATAGGAAACTTTTCTATGAAATCTTGCTGTCAATTTTTACAATTATGTTATCAAAATCCAAAATATTCGTGTCCTGTCAAATTAAATGGGTAAATAGAGTAATGTTTTATTATTTTCTATATAGCTTTTTTATATTTATCGATTGTTACTATTTCAGTATTCAACTGGGACAAGACCTCAATTATTGGAAACAGTTAATTCTTTACTTGAAAAAGAGGAACTAAAGCATAGACAACATCCTGGAATAATAAAAAAAAATGTAATTACTTTACCCACGCCAATTTCCGATGCAATAAACATTATTTTAGAAGGTAATATTAATTACTAGTATTGAGGTTTATTTGTAAAATTCTATTTTTATTAACTATTTAATTTATTATGTTTGTATATTTAATAATTAAAAGAATATCTATTTCAGATTATCCAAATAAAAAAAGTTTTCCCGCAGAAAGTATTAAATTTAAAAATCATTTACACGGTCGTCATTTACCTTTAGAAGAAAATGAGAGAAATAAATTATACGAAAACACACACGAAAAGTATCTAAGAAAGAAAAAGTTTGAAAATTTTAGCACTGAAGAGTTAAATCTTCAAAGAAAAAAAAATGAACGAAAGGTTTCAATTTTTGTAAAACAATGGGCCAATCATTGGCAAGAAACAGTTTACGATAATCATAAAAGTTTATTATACATGATTAGTAGAAGTGTACCGAACTATGCAGTTTTACATGCTATTTTTAATGAAATTTGTATTCGCGATAAGAAATTCCAACCAAAAACGGTTCTTGATTTTGGTTCAGGAATTGGAAGCACAATGTGGTAATGTACTTATTAAAATAAAAATTTTAATTAGTTTCTAAGAAAAAATGATTATTTACTTATAAAAAACTAAAATTAAAGGTTTTAATTCAAAATTTTATTTCTAGGGTAATAAATGATCTGTGGCCGAAAAAAGTAAATGAATTTGTGAATGTCGATATTTCGAATGAAATCAACACACTTTCTGAATATATTACAAAAATTCTTTATCCAAATTTCTGTGGAATTTTTTATCGACAGTTTATGCCAATGTCCCTGCGAGTAAGAATTTATTTTTCTCTTTCTCTTTCACTTTTATAATGAATTTTAATATTTCAATTATATCTAGGAAAATTATGACATCACAGTGAGCGCATTTTCTCTAATTGAATTACCAAATACGAAAAGTAGACTAGACACAGTTATGAAACTTTGGAAAAAAACAAAAAATTATTTAGTCATTGTTGAAGAAGGAACAGATGCGGGATTTCAAGTGAGTTTAAACAATTATAAATATCAAATTATTATTGTTATTTATCTAAAAAATAATAATTTTAATTTTCAACAGATTGTAACCGAGGCTCGAGATTTCATTTTACATTTATCGAATTTAAATACCAAAGACGGCAAATCAAAAGAAACTCATGTCTTCGCTCCAGTAAGATATTTAAATATAATTTCTTTTCTAATAATATTTCGACACTTTAATATTATTTTTTTATTTGAAATTATATTTACTTTAAAATAAGAAATAATATTTTTTTTCTTATTTCAGTGCCCTCATGATCTTGATTGTCCAAAGACAAATATTTGTTATTTTGAAGCAGGATATAATTCTTTACCATTACTGGGAAAATTAACGAGATACGAACGTTATTCATACGTTGTATTTAAAAAAGGTTCTTTTTAATAAAATGAATAATATTAAATTAAATATTCAAATTAAATAATAAAATTAAAGAAAATCAATTTTAAAAATTTATTATTTACAGGTGATAAATTAGAAAACGATGTCAATTGGCCTCGATTAATTAGTAAACCTTTGAAAAAAGGAGGACATGTAATTTGTCGAATGTGTAATAGTTCTGGAAATTTGAGAGAAATTATTTTCTCGCGTAAGAACGATGGAAGGTAGAATATTCAAATTTTAAATATCCTTTTTAAAGTTTTTTAACATAAATATTTAATTGAAAATAATATCAATTTTTATTCCAATAAATTAAAATATTAATTATATATTATTATTTTAGGAATCTTTATCGTTGCGCAAAACTTTGTAAATGGGGCGATCGAATTCCATTAGAAACGAATACTGAAAGTAATACAAATGTAGTTATTGACAGTAAATGTGAAAACGATGAAAATAATAGTAGTATAGAGACAAAAGAATATAAAGATGATAATATTACTGAATATAAAGACGAAACTATCAAATAAAGTGACGAAGAAATGGAAAAAAATGACATTTATCACAGGATTGAAAATTTTGTTACCAATGTCATATAAACTGTAAGTAAAATGTATAGTATTTTTTTCAATCATTACGAAAAGTCAATAAATACTTTTCAAATTTTTTACACAATTTATTATTGTTTCCATTATTAAGATAAAAAGATATGGTATATTCTAGAAATAACTAATTTTTAACTAGAAAAATGTTTCATAAAATAATTTATTAACCTTGTAAATAAAAGAAGACAGTTTCTTTTTTTTTTTTTTTTTTTTTTTGTAAAAAGTGGAGAAAAAAATCTCACGAGTCCATGTAGGTATATATATATAAATAACAAAAAAAAATTCGCAGCGTAGAAAATTACTTAGTTTTCTTGTGATGTTCCATACACGCAGCACAGTGCAAACATCCGAAAAAATAATTATTTCTTTTCTCGTGATTTCTGTCCAAAAATCGTAGACATGAAAAAATCAACATCAATAATAGTAAAAAAAAATTAAATTAACTTAAGTTTTAATTAAAAAACTTAGGTTAAATATACATAACTCCATATTTTTTTTTATCATTCATAATACGACGAGTGCTCTCTGTCCATAAAAATGTGACTTAAACTATTTATCATTAAACTATCATTTAAATTAGACTAATTTCGATTAGATTAATTCAGTAGTTTTGCTAATCATTGTAATATAGTACACTATAACTTATTTTTAATTAATTTTTTTCATTAAACAAATTACTATTATGATGTATTTTCTAAAGAGAAAAAAAAATGTTTCTCTTTTTTTGAACATTTATGACAGAAAATCAATAATCTTTTTTTTTTGTATCTATAAATTCTATTTTTAGAATGCAACAACATTCTCTAGTTGGGGTTTTGCACTGTTGTTATTTACAACACAAAAATATACTATCATATCGATTACAACAAAAACAATAAAATTTGTAAAAATTACATCTCTCCTTATTTCAAGGTCAATTCGCGATTATATATATATATATATATACTGACTCGAATTTTTCCTATCACGAAATTACTAATCTGTCGACTATTTAATCTTTTTAACACGTTTTTTTTCTTTTTTTTTTTTGATTAAACCTATTTTTTTAACGAGTTGGTGTTTGATATTTTTTTTTCTTTCGGGGGAAATTCTGGAATAACTATTGTTTAACTAATTATCTCAAAAATGATAATTGTCCTCCACTGAAATACATATTTCAGTGACGTCCTTTTAAAAAAAAACAATATCATGCTTAAACTACTTCTAGATTTAAATCGCTTTTTTGGGAAGTATCCTGCTTCTTATTTGAAGTTAAAATTTGTGAACATTTTAAGATTCGAAAAAAGAGACTATATATTTTTAATTTTCGATAATAAATAACTATTTTAAATTACTATAGCAATTTTGTAATTGTTTTGTTTGATTTGTAATTTTTTTTTTTCTCTCATAAGACATGAAATGTAGATATAATGCAAAGAAAATCACAAACAAAGATAGAAAGATATTTTATCTAAAAATATCTCTATGGACGAATCGGCATGCTTTCTAATGCATTTATTCTTAAGGTATTTTAATCATTCTGACTTTCTCTCATTCTCACTTGCACTTGATGGCACGCACTTAGATTGTGTCTTTGAATTATTTTCATCATCGCCGCCCGTCTCTTCTAATAATTCGTCCTCGTCCTCCTCATCTTCATCTTCCTCGAGAAGTTTTTTTCTTGCTAATTGTACCGCCTCCCATTCTCGATAATGTCCCTTTCTTTTCGCCTCAAATGCTTTCCTCTTTTCTGTGAACATTTTTTTTACATTTCAAATTAATTATTTAACTGAACTTAATTTATTTTTTTTAAATAATTACCTCTTTCATCAGGAGTTTCTTCATCCTCCTCGTCACTCGATTCTTCGAAAATTTTTGGCTTTACATTTTTTTCTAATCTAAAAAAAATATGTTTTACAAAATGCGCGCATTAGTTTCATAGTTAATTTTAATATTAATTGTTGTTTGAAGTAATAAATTAATTATAAGAGAATATTAGTAGAAAAAACTTACTTTGATGCAACTGCAGATGAGTCAAGATGATCCATGTCATTATCGTTAACTGCCGCATAATTATATGGGGTTTTTGGTTCTTCTATTTTCATGTGACCATAATCTTTGTCCGCTGGATGTAAAGTTGCAATAATATTCATTTCATCCCATTTTGTTTCTTTGCTTGCTCTGGAATATTTATTATTCAACTATATATAAAATAAACTCCAATATTTAATTTAAAAAAAAAATCAATTTTTCTTCCTTTTATCCCTCAAAAAATAGTTCAATTTTTATTTTTTATTCTAAAAACCAGACTTTAATATCGGAAATCAATCGAAATACAAAAAAAATTACAAGCACGAGAATTATTTTTATAAATGGAAAGATGAATGGAGCGATAAATAAAGAAATAATAAGGTGGAAATAGAGATTCTTAAATATTCGGCAATGGTTTAATATACCACACATACACCAAATCGTTTAATATATAGAAAATTGATTTTCCCCCGACATTTACAAGGTGGGATGAGTGAATGAAACGTTGTACACATACAAATTAACCGGATGCTGTAATTTTCTTCTATTCGAAACAATCACAAAAGCCATTTGATAACGTGTTTAAAATGTCAATGTTTTAAAATAACATTTCTATTTTATGAGACATTCATTATTTATGCAAATATTTCCCTTCCGTATATTTTTAATTCGTCATTCGCAAGACAATTGGAATTCATAAAAAAAAGACTTTGAATAGAAAATTAACTTTTGCTTTTTATAGCAAATTGAAGCCTATAATTAACGTGTTTTTTTTCTTTCTTTTTTTATTGTTTTAAAGTGTACTATTCATTGAAATTGACTTCACCTGTAATTATCAATAATTTAAATTACTAATTTTTGGAAACTATCGTATTAATTCATAAATCAAAACTTTTTTTTATATTCACAAGTTTAATTCTTTCGGATTTTTATTTTTTTTTAGTGTTAAAAATGTTGAGTGAAAAATTTTGTGAAAAATCCCCAACTATTTGGAAAAATCTTACTCATCTAGTGTGGGAGTATTTAAGAGAGGAATTTATCATCCAATTTTATTATAATGACTCACATTCTGCAATATTCTCTTTCATGGAATAAGTAAATGTAAATTGTTCAACAGTTTATTACTGTATTTCATGGAATAACTAAAGTGTAAATTGTTGAGCGTTTTATAACAGAGAATTTATATACCTTCAAATCTTACAATTGTTAATTTTTTTCATCCTCGCACGCGATTTAACAATTAAGAGATTCAACACGCAAAACTAGAATAATATTATTATGTCAAAATAAAAATAAGTCTTTCAAAAAAAAAAGAAATCGTCAGTAATACATAGAGAGTGAAATTATCTTTTATAATCAGTGTATTTTTTTTCAAAAATTCAATTGAAAAAGAAATTTCTCTCAATTATAGTCAAAGAAACGAGAGATAAATTTTGACATATAGAAATATAATGCTTTAAGTGAGGACAAACTGATTTTGCTTTAATGAGATTAAAAGCGTGGCGATGAAGCTCTATTACCGCCAAAGTGTCAGGTTATGATTACAATGTTTTTCAAGGTAAAGTTGAAAGGGTTTTATTGTTATTTACCTTGGTGCTTCTTGGTTGTCAAAGCTGCTTGATGTCTTTAAAATCCCTTTCGAAGGACGTTTGCCCAAATTTTCTGCCATTCTTTTTGTTTTTCTTTTTTTGGGGTTAAAAAAAGACAACTGATGATTTTGACTTGATAATAATACACACAGACTTTTTGAGAAAAATTAATTTTAAATTCTATGTCTTCCCATTCTTAATGGAGATACAACCGATCGAACCGGTATAAAATTAACACTACGTTTCAGGAAAAAAATAATTACCACAAAAAGACACAAAAAAACTTTGGAAGAACTTGGAGATGAAATTAGTAACACATTTCAGTTTCACTTCTGTTTCATTTCTCTGGCAATAATATTCTATTTTTTTAACTACATTACCGCTCCTAGCGACTGTCGTGGAAAACAATTTTCATCATTTTCGATCGATAAAATCGTATTTTCTCAAAAAAAAAAAAAAATTATTTGAAAATAATTTTTGTTTAATTAGATTTTGTATTAAAATTTTTATATGTAATTTTTAAAATTGTTTAGAAATTATGTTGATTATATTTAAAAAGTATATTGATTAATTTGAAAAATGGTAAGGTTTTTAAAAGTGTCATCTTGACCCTGATTAAGAGCTATATTCTATACACAGGTGTATTTCTCTGCTATAGAAAAAAGAAAATATAATTAATAATTAATAACTGATTAATTATAACTAATACAATAAATATTAAAATTTTATTTATATTAAATTCCATATTTATTATATTAAATTTACTTTAAAATAGTTTATAAAAATTAAATGTATAAAAAAAATGTTATATATTTACAAAAATTAACTTCTGAGGATATCCAACTCTTCAGGAGTAACATGTATTCTTAACTCTTTTCCACGTATGACATCCTGAATTTGTGTTAATTGTTGTGGAGCAATTTCTGCGGAATCAATATAAATACATCTTGCCCATGGGCAATTTACCACACTTTCGTGATAAGCATCTTCACCCTTTTTTTCGGAAAGATTTTCCTCTCGCAACAATAATATGAACAGCCTCCACAAAAGTGGACAGTGTCGGATGTCAGGATTTCTGTAAATTAAATAATTGTTAAATTTTTAATTTTTTAATGCCGTCAGAATATATTTTTTAATCTACTTACCGAGCAAGTTTTCTATAAAATGATAATAATTTATTAAGAAGAGCACCTGCTGCATCAAAAAGATTACTTTTTTTTAATGACTTTATCCGTGAATTTTCTGCCAAGCACATTGTCATCGCTTGCCACAATCGAATTTTTCCGCTTTTATTTTGTCGCCAAGTTGGTAATTCGTACTGTTAAATATTATTTTTTTAATTAATATTTATTGTATATTTTTTATATAATATAGATTATAATTTACCTCAACATCGGCAAATACAGAAAGTATATAGAAATTATCTGGATATAAATGTGAAGCTTCATTTAAAATTTCCTTCAAAAGATTTTTCGAATCATAAATTTCCTCTGCGTGAAATTGTAAAAATGCTAATTCACTTTCATATAAACGCTCCTGAAAATAAGTGAAATGTAATAAAAATTAAACGAAACAAAATAAAACTAAAATTTTGATAAAATAAATTTAAAACTTTTGTTTTTACCAATAATCCCGGAGTTTCTTTGCAATGATCAATACATCTTCGAATTGTATTCATAATTTCAATAATACTTCGTTCCACTATCAATGAAAGATACGCGTAACACATAATTGTGTCGCATATCAAATTTGGTAAGAAAAAAGCATCATCACTTTCTTCAATTATCTCGTGAGAAAGAAAATTTTCCACGGAATCGTGTAAAAATTTATATGCTGATAGTAAACGATTTCCTTTAGTTTCTGGTACTAATTTTATTGCAATTTTTTTCAAATGATCTCTATTTGTTTTGCAATATGTTTTGGTATTGAGTAAAATTTCAAAAAGTGTCCTATAAACACTCATAACTGTTGTTTTTTCATTCACGTCTGTTATTGTTGCTGGACATAAATTATTTGAGTCAAGAGCCGTTTCCAAAATAGTCACAGAACTTTCAAAATGTCCATGTTCATATTCAATGAGTGCATATTCACGATAAAAATGTAAATTATTTCGATTTTCTGATTTCTTCAAAAATTCCTTCAATATGTTTTTCAATTTTTTTCCACTGAAAATATAAATATTTTCAAATTCTTAAAAATATTATTAAGTAAGAAAAATTTATCTTACCGATTATCACTTTTTAAAGGATCATCTTTTCCAAAATAAATCAACATTCTTTCAAATCGCAACCACCAGATGTAAATGCTTGTTCGTTGTAAAGGTGGCAAGGCCTCGGCAATTATTTTAAATGTTGATCTAATAAAATCCAAAAAAGGTTCCTGCGCAGGATGAAATCTCAAAAATTGCGGACCCGACGTTAATTGTCCTTGTATTAAACCTTCGAGAAGTGACTTTCTTTTTTCATGTCCAGCCATTTCACCTACACAGGGATACGCTAATGGCAATAAAACTTCCATAGAATCGAAAATCCAGTTCAAATCCTTCAATCCCAAAATCTAAAAATGTAAAGTAATTATTATGAAAATTAGTTTATTGAAATTAAAATTATTCATTAAAATGAAATTGATAATTGACAGTTAAAGGAATAATTTATCATTAATTTTTACCTTTAAGGTGGTATCTCGAGTTGGTAACAGAGGCACTTTAAGTGCTAATAGTGAATAAACTGCCAAATGGAAATTTGAATTATGCGAGACTAGAGGATGAACAAAATCAGCCACATCTTCAGGTAAAACAAATCTTTTTGAATCTCCAATCAGCTCAAGTTGATCGCTTGTTACACTAACCCAATGACATCTTTCTCTCAATGATTCTACTCGAAGCCAAAGTTGATTCAATGGTAGTCTCGACGTCAGAATTACTTCTTCCATTCCAACTTGATAAATTAAAAGAAAAAAATTATTATCCATTAAGTCAAAAATAGTAATTAATTAATACTCACTGAGATTTTTTTCATCAATTGAACTTTGAAGTTGTAAATTCTCTTTACGTAAATCGAGATTTAAACATAAATTCATTCGAATTGTTTCCCACATTTGTTCCCAAAATCCTGCATGTCTAAGAAACATCAAGCACTGAAACATTGTATCTATAAAAAGTTTTACAATTAATTTGAATTAAAACAAACATTTCCTATTTTAAAAAGTAAAACAAGAAAAACTTACTCAAAACTTGTGTATCGTAAAAACGAGGATTCGCCCTTGAACGTTGTCGTAAAACAAAAAGACATTTTGTAAATAAATTCAAAACATTTGGCGCAGAACACAAAGCAACCGACGATTGTGTCACCATAATGAGAGTTTGCCATAAAATCAAATTACCCGAATCTTTATTAAGAAGTGCTTCTAATTCATTGGAAAATTGATCGGCTGGTGCAAGTTCGGACATAAAGAATAATTTTAATTTTTGCAATTCCAAGGAATCAGGATTGTTTTCCAAACCTTTTTCAACGATAGACAACTTTTTTTGTAATATCGAGTGCGTATTATTTTTAAAGGGTTGAAAAGTTATTGCATCATCCTACAACATGAAGAAACGACAAATAGATAATCAATAGTATATAAAAAATTAGAAATCACATTAGTTTTTAGATAAATAAAATACTACCTGAAAATCAACATAACGAAGCCAAATTTCAATATCATGTGGATTCTCTTCTAACTTTTTATTAAAATCTTGTGTTTTTGTTTTTTGTTCTTCTTCCATATTTACACACCATTCTGGCATAATTTCCGAATTATCATTGGATTTTGTTCTCTTGATAATAGTATCTTTCTTTTTTGTTTGTTCCTGTTTGTCAATATTCTTTGAATAATATCGACAAAGTGTACGTTTCTTAAATCGTTTTCTAGAAATGAAATCTAGACTGTGTTCGGATAAATTATACAAAGGTCGTACTCTCGAGCACAAGGTGTCAACAGTGCACATTCTTGTATCGAGAATTCGATCCTCAAAATAGACATTTTCTACTTTTCGTTCATAGTTTTGTTCGATTTTAATTTTGTGCTTCTTCTTTTTCTTCTTATGATGTTTTCTCAAATTAACAGTAGCGTGAGTTGAATCACGATAATTTGACACAATTTTTATATTCTCAGGAATTGTTTCTAATTTCGATGAAGTTGGTACATGTACAGATTCATTTTCTTCTGATGATGATGACGATATATCAGTGGGTTTATTAAATTCTACACTTGATTGAAAACTTGAATTTGAAAGCCATTTTTCTTTATTGTCATCTACAAAAGATTTGTAATTTTTATTTATGTTTGCAAAAATCTTTACAAAAAAAAAGTATAAACTAAATTCTTATTAAAATATTTACTACTGTGTTAATTATTAAAAATTCTCCAAATTTAATAATATTAGGTAATGTTAACTATAAAATTTAATTAAAAGAACAATATTTATTTACAATCATAATCTTTTTAAGGTTATATTTACATATAAAATTATGAGAATTAAAACCACTTACCATTTACTAATTCTTCTGCAGAATTGACATTAGATTCATTAAAATTTTTAACACTCGAATAAGCAGGAAATAGAGACATTTTAATGTTAATTTAAAAATTAAAAGTTTATTGTAATATTCTTCTTTTTTGACAGTAGGAGCAGACGACACTAAGAATATATATACAAACAAACATGGCGTTATACTTTAACCAATCAGAAAAAAAGAATTTTGTAAATATGTCCACCAATAAAAATGTGTTTTTTATTTTGTCTACGTTAATTACGTAATTTACGCCAGAACCAAGAATGACGCGTCATTCTCCAACCCTGCTCAGTAGTAGTGAGTTGGGTTGAATGTTTACATCCTGCGAGTCATAATTTGTGATAATTTGCATATCATTCTGTCACAATAGTCTTCTATATTTAGAATAGAAATATAATTTTTTTTTAAAAAACATTCTTCTCTGCAACTTTGAAAAAGTTTTCAATAAAAATAAAGTGTAGAATTTGTGTAGTTTCTGAAAAATTTCACAAAAACAACAAGAAAATCCTTCAAAATGAAAATAACAGTAACAACGTTGAGCGATGTTATTTTTATTTTAGATGTAAGTGAAGATTTGGAGCTCGAAAATTTTAAAGCATTTTGTGAAATTGAAAGTGGCCTTCCAGCACATGAAATAGTTATTATGTTTAATGGTCGACCCATGATGGACGATAAAAAATCACTGAGACAACTTGGTATAAATGACGGGGATGTTGTGATACTTCAACACATGCATCAGAGCAGAGCTGATTTGAGTAGTTTACATCCTTTCAATGCATGTAAGAAACATTCGTTTTTTATTGCTTATTTAATTTTTTGTCAACTTGTATTTAAATGTTTCTTAATTTTACAGCAATTCCTGTATTAGACTTTAGTTCTATAAGAATACCAGGAGCATCAACTAGTCGAGTTGCACCTAGTGTAAACAATATTTCTGCTCAAAGAGTTCAAAATCCTCGCAGTGAAGATGACCCTGCAATGATTCGAGATATGGTTTTAGCTAATCCTGATCAACTGGCATTATTAAAACAAAATAATCCCAGATTAGCTGATGCTTTATTATCAGGAAATCTTGGTGAGAGAAAATGAAAATATTACTAGAATTTCAGGCCTGGGATTAACCTTTTAAAATTTTTCATTTAAACCTTTTTGAAATTTAATAATTTCAATTATAACTCACTCTATTATTTTTATCATTTTTTATATATTTTGTTTGTTTGATTTGTTATAGAAAGATTTGCCACGGTATTGAAAGAACAAATAAAACTTCGAGAAGAAAGACAAGCACAAAGACAGAGAATGATGAGTGCTGATCCATTGGACACTGAAACACAACGATTGATTGCAGATGAAATACGGCAGAAGAATATAGAGGCCAATATGGAAGCTGCTATGGAATACAATCCAGAAACATTTGGCACTGTTGTCATGTTATACATCAATTGTAAAGTTAATGGATTTCCTGTCAAAGCATTTATCGATTCAGGTTAATTAATATTTTTTTAATACAGATCTTAAAACAATAGAAGATTTTTCAAATTTGTACTTTTATGCTCAAACATAAAGTTCCTATCTCTATTAATGTTTATAGAAACTAATTGAGATGTTTACAAAATTTAGGAGCACAAACTACAATTATGTCTGCGGCTTGTGCTGAAAGGTGTCATATAATGCGACTGGTTGACACAAGATGGGCGGGCATCGCAAAGGGTGTTGGTGTTCAACGAATTATTGGAAGAATACACATGGTACAGATACAGATAGGTAATGATCATCTGACAACATCGTTTAGTGTGTTAGAAGAGCAACCGATGGACATGTTGCTTGGATTAGACATGCTAAAAAGACATCAATGTTGTATTGATCTGAAAAAAAATGTTTTAACAATTGGAACTACTGGAGCCGAGACATCTTTTCTTACTGAAGGTAAACTATATGCTTAAGCATATATAATTTTTCATAATAAGAACATTTTCATGTCTTCATCTAAACCCCTTGTCATTAAATTATGAAGATATTTAAAAATTTGTACTTTATTTTAGGAGAATTACCAGAATGCGCAAGATTAAGTGGTAATAATGATGATGCTTTGGATGACAGGGATCTTCAAAAAGCTCTTGAAGATAGTTCCAGAGAAGCAGATAAGCAAAATCAGCTGAGTAAGTATAGATCCAATAATTTTAATTTTTCATGGAAAATAAAATGTTTGTACAATTCATCATTCAAAGTAAATAAATGTTTTTAATTTTTCTTAAAAAAATTGCAAAGTATCGCGTAGAACATTTTATTTGTTAATTAGTAAACATAAATTATTTTTTTTTTTATTCTAGGCGGGCAAAGTAGAGCTAATTCATCTGCTTCTAGTTTATCAAGCTCAGATAATATTGTACTTCCACACGATCCATTCACGGAAGCAACCGTCATTGAAATTGTGTCTCTAGGTTTTACTAGAGCTCAGGTATTAGCAGAACTGCGTAGATTAAATGGAGATAAAGCTCAAGCTACAGCAGCTCTGTTTGCAAAATCATTAAAATTTTAAATTACAATATTATTTTACCAGGAGCTTATGTTACCTATCGGTTTTTGGCGCATTATTAATTATTTTCTTGTTATAATATTATATTTAATTTTATTTCATTATTTCAAGTCTAACTACCAATTTTTTCGAGACTTTATTTACAAATTTGTATTTAAAGAGTAATAATTTTTTTTGCAGTAAAAATAATCCTTGAAATTAAATATTTAAGTTTAAGATTAAAGCATTTATAAGACTTTATAAAGTAATACATGAATTGATTGTATTATGATCAATGAAAGACTTAAAATTACAACTAAATATTTCTGTGCAAATTTAGAAATTATGTGTGAAAATTTACAAAAATAACTTAGTTGTCTTAATCTAATGGCTTTTTATAAAACTAATTAATAAATAATCGAACAATAGTGAACGTGTCCTAACGAGATATTGAGGATTTTTTAGAAAAATGCACATATTTTATTACAAATATCATCTATTTTTGCTATTCTTCATTCAAGGTTATAATAGAATTCTATATCATAAACCTAAATTATCCACATTGATCCTTCGAAATTAATTAAACTTGTTTTATAATACAAATGATTATCGAAGCTGTGACACGATTTTCTTCTTATAATTCATGGATATTTGAATTGAAAATTTCTACAACTATTATGAATACAAGTGATAAATACTTTCCTTGTTGTGTATCAGTTTTCCCACAATAAACAAAAATAAAAAAAAAATAACCTGCTGCAAAGTTATAGTATTGATAATTTTTTATTCTATAAACAAATTTGTATAAACTCTGATTATTGATTGAAATGATTCAAATTCAGAAAATCCCGATTATAATTTGAATTTTGGCAAATTTTCGAGGTTTTCAGATCACTGTGTTCATGATAGAAATGCACTACATGAATTAAAGGATTTTTGCAGTCTACAACATACAGAATATAAATTTTTAAGATAAAAATGACAAATATTGTCAAAATATTAAAAACAAGAAGTAAAATCCAAACATTTATTCACGAAGTTTTAAATACAAAAGCGATTGATCCTATTTCCGTTGATAAATAATATTCAGAGATGATAATTCAATCCAGGAAATAATAAAAATTATCATCCACTTCAGCCTATTTATTAAGAAACACAATTTTGATAACAGAGGTCACTTACAATAAAAAATAATAAATTATTAACCAAATCACAGAAATTTTACTTACATACAAGTAACTTATTAATAAATCGAAGATGTCCTTCTCTTTAGATAAGTGACCTATGCTAACAAAGTTTTTTTGTTAATAATATAAATAACTTAAAGAAGATGTTGAACCGAGACATCAAAATGTTGCAATAACTTGAAAAATCAATATTTAATTCACTTTCATGTCTCCCTGGTTCGAATTTTCAACTCCGCAAAGGTGTTGCAGTTACTTTACAATAAATAATATTCGTTGTTTTGAATTAAATTATACACATCACAACTTTCAGAAGAAGTATTTCTTATTACAAACTTACTTTAAATGTTATAAATGTTAAATAATCACTGATCTTATAAAATAATTTAACACGCATATGTAAATTTTATGGACGACGTATATATATTTATTTATATATATTTGTCTTGTTTAGTGAGCGTTTCTTCTTATGATTGACAAGACTGACTTGAGGATCTATAAACTTTACAGTTGACATCATGAAGTATTTATGATCTATGAGGGTTCTTGTATTGATTGTCGGAGAAACTGTTTCAGTCACTCTGAAATGATGAATCTCAGCAAGAACACTCTTCTTCCCGTGGCAATTCATGTCCTATTGATTCCTAAATAAATCATAAATTAATTTAAAAAGACAGTAATAACAAAATTTTTGAAATAAATCACAATATTACCTTCATTAATTCCATGTTATCAGAATTATTCGTTTGAGTCGATGGTGATGAAAAAGCAATTTTTTCATATGGTATATTATCTCGACAGAGAGCGCTGGGATCCAAACTCAATGCTCCTTTTAAGGCATTTTTTTTTATCATCCCATTAATATTGTTACCATTTGAATTTAAAATTACATGACTTGGAGAAAATGACTGAGTATTTGATGATGACATCGCTGTATCTAGATTTGTACTTGAAAGCATAACTAACGTATCAGCATTCGAATCATTCATCTCAGAACTTGACTTTTCATACGAGTTGCTATTACAGTTTATATCATCTAATGTTGACGTATTTTTGCTACAGTTGATCATATTAGCATTTTCCTTTTCTAGTTCTCTATATTCTTTTTCACCTTCATTCTAATAACAAACCAAAATATTATTACACTTCACATCTGTTAATGAAAAATAATTTAACTTTTCTTTTTATATATCATTTGTGATTTAAATCACAATTTTTGTTAACAATAGATATGATAACATTTTTTTGTGGCACAGCAAAATGTAAAATTTTTGTTCATAGTTTGTTTGAGAAAGGATCTTTTCTGAATGTTTCTTTAATGATGAGTCAATTTTTATTAATTAAACACATATTGAAAAATAACAAAACCAACTATTGCCTCTATTTTACAACCGAGCACTAAGGGAAAATTCCAAATAGGGTCATAAATCGAAAATTGCTTCTAGCAATCTATGACGTCTTTGAGAAGAGCTGTTAAAAAGGACGACAATATAGGCAAACCTTCATTGCATATAATCAGAATATAAGGCATCTTAACCAAACAATTCTAATGAGTAATAGTAATGGTATAATAATAAAAATCAATACATACCAAACTTATTTTGAAGAAAAGTGTATCAATTAAACAACTTAGAAGATAACTTCACCCCGGAAATTTCATCTCTAAAACATGGTTTCAAACTTTTGCACTGTGAAATAAAAACAGTAGTATATTTTCTTAATTTGTCGTACAATAAAAAATTGCAAACATATTTTAAGTGTATCACGGTGCATTCTATATCAATTTAATCAAAAATTTCTGCAATCTTAAATTTTTGATTGTACTGATTCCTTTCCCTATAATAGTTTATGAGGATAACGAAGAAAACAAATTTTGCCATAAAAGATTGCTGCAATCTTGAAAGGAAAAATTGCTTGCTAAAATACTTCTGATAAAGTACAATGTTAAATTATTTTGAAGATTTTGAAAATAATGGAACTTCTACTTTAAAGTCATCACACTAGTAGATTAATTCCATTGTTAAGATGCGAATCAAATTGTTGCTAATAGCTACAAAAACGAATGGAGACTCGGTCGACATCAAAACTTTCATAGGATTTTTTGCAAAAAGTTTCAATTTGTAAATATCAAGAAAATAATTTCTTCTAATGCCCCTGAAGTAGTTGATTCTAATCAAAATTTAACCTTGTATTCCTGCAAAGCGATTTGAGAAATCCCTACTGAAAAATTATATGTCCGTAATTGCGTACATAATTAGATTTACTGTGCCAGTATTCAGCTGTACCAAATAGTGTTTGTAATCAAGCGTACAAGAATTAAGAGGCGCATAAATTTACCATAAAAATCATTAAATACAATTTACATTTTAAAGAATTTTATTAAAATTCACTTGAATTAAAATTTTTAAAATAAAAAGTCATGTAAAGAAAATGACTGTAAAATAAAAAAATTCTGTCAAAAATAATAATTTCTAAAAAAATTTTTTAAAATGAAAATTGTAATGAATGATTTTTATAGGAAATTCATGCACACCGAATTAAATCTTTATAAATATCGATATACTTACGTTAGCATGTACGTTAATACATTCAGTTTCAGGATCTGGTCTCATAATTGTTATTTCTCTCTCACAAGACGGTAAAACATCATAATTTGGCATTGGATAATTTAGAACATCGGGATCCTGTAAATTATGTATGTAGAATAATCCAACAAAATTTAGATTTTTATATGAGCTAAATTACCTGTAAGCAATATCCTATTCTTTCAACAATTGTAGTAAAACTAGGCCTATCTTCGGGATGTGGATGCCAACATCGAGTCATTACACCATAAATTGGATCGGGACAACCAGCAGGCCTTTCCAATCGTCCACCAGTTGTAACCATTGACATTACCTCTCGATTAGCACATCCCGTATAAGGCATATAACCAAAGGACATAATTTCCCATAGAAGAACTCCAAAGGCCCTACAAAGAACAAAATCACCATTAATTCTAAAACAAAAGAGTTTAATATGTAAAATTTAAAATGAAAATCATACCAAACATCAGTTTTAGTCGTAAATATTCCATCCAAAAAGCTTTCTGGGGGCATCCACTTGATAGGCAACATTGCTTTACCGCCTTTTCGATAATAATCGCTTCTATAAATATCTCGAGCCATACCAAAATCTGCAATTTTAACTATTCGTCCAGGTCCTTTACAAGTCAAAAGACAATTTCTAGCCGCTATATCTCGATGAATAAATCGAGCATCTTCCATATATTTACAGCCATTTGCGACATCATAGGCGCACATTATTAAATCTTGCATTGATAAAGTTGTTGATCGATCCTACAATGTAAGGAATAAATAAATTTTCTTTACTTCTAAAGAGTGTGCATAATAAAATAGAAAAAATGTGAAAATTTATTTACAGGGCGAGGTCTTTCTTCTCGTAAAAAATTTTTTAAATCCCCACCAGCCAGTAATTCTAAAATTATATATCTAGGATGTTTATCAAATGAAACACCAATAAAGTGTACTATATTTGGATGATTGAATTTGCTCATAATCAATGCTTCCATCATAAAGTCAGCTTCCGCGTGAGATGTTGACAATGAAGGAAGTGTTTTTACTGCAACAGGATGTTCGTCATTTCGGCGATACTTGTAAACACCTTGAAATACTTCCCCAAATGCTCCTTGTCCCAAAGGTCTAAGTGAAATATAAAAAGAATTATTTTTGGAAAGAGACTATCTTCATTATTAAATTAATGAAATATTTCAAAATTATTTTTCAACGTGTATTTCATGTTTAGAACTAAACTTACTTTACTAATGAAATATTATCTCGTGGTATTTGAGGAAGATCTTTAAAACTGTATAAATTTCCCGCAAATTCATAATTTGGATTGAATTCAGTCATCATACTGTCGGAAACTGCACGAAGGGCAGTTAATTCCGTTCCATTACCGAACATTACTTGACGTCGTCTAATTAAAGCTTTTCGGTGTTGATATCGATTATCTATAAATAAGGCAGGATACTGTTAATTTATATAGTATGTAGAAATGTACGAGTGCCTTGAATCGAATTCAAATTTGAACTCACACAACAAAAGAAAAAGTCCAGAAAGCGCAAATATTAAACCAATGCTGAATGCAATTAATATAATCATAAAAGTCTGATGTGCTACGTCAGTTTCTTCTGCCACTGTAAAGATAAAAATTATTCAAGAAACTGTTGTTTATTTAAAAAAGAATTTTATATTCATTTACGGTAGTAATACTTACTTAAACAGGATTTTGAATCATTTCCAAGAAGCCAACCTGGCGGACACAAACATTTTACTTCAGATAAATATTGATCCAATACAACACATCGAAAATCGCATCCACATCCACTAATTGCTGGTATAATTAGAGCTTCTCCTGGTCCTTGATTATATCCTATGTGAAAAGCAAGATGAAGAACTTCTGAAGCAGCAAATGAAAAGCCACCCTGACCGTTTGGAGATTCTTGACCCCCTGTGCTTCCTCCTATATAAGTTGAGAATTAAATTTTTTTTTAACCTACTCAGCAAAAAATGAGAAAAAAATTAAAGTTACTTTTACGATAAAATTGAAAAACTTTTTGTAATGAACATTGAGATGATTGGACGACAAACATCTAAACTTAATGTAATGTAGGTAGATAATTAACTTTCCTACATAACCGCCTCCTCCACCTCCAGTTAAACAACCACCTCCGCCTCCACCAAATCCACCATTTCCATGACCATTACTGTTTGGACCACATCCTATCCCACCGCTACCACCTAAAATTAATGGCAATCCTGCTGATTGACTTGAATTGGTATTTAATAAGCCAAACCATCCGCCTCCAGCACCTGCAAGTGCAATTGAAATAATTCTACAATCAATAGCAATAAAATGATGTACATTGTTAACTTAATAAATTATAATAATTATAAAAAAAGGCATTATAGAAAAAATTATAAAATGATTCCAAATTTTTGTTTCTATGTTATAAAATATTACCAGCGTCTCCCCGAATTGATACTCCAGTTGTGGGCCTACTTCCTGGTGGAGGTAAGCCTTTTCCATGTTGAACTCCATCATCAGCAAACTGACCCAAACCTAAACCACCTCCACCAGCTGCTATCATCAGTGGTTGGTGTTCTCCATTAGATTTCAACTAATTTCATAAAAATAAAATCATCTTTAAAATTTAAATTCCAAGATAATAAAATTTTATTAAATAATTGTGAAAAATGAGTTGTAATGATATAAAAAATGATTATACATGAATTATAACTTACTTTAAAAATATATGTAGCTCCTCCTCCACCACCTCCACCATCTTTTAATTCTATCTTCTTTACAGCATGTACTTTTGACGTATATACAGATGAAGAAATTTGACCTAATTGTTGACAATCATGTTTTTCAAGACCTAGACTCTATAAATGTAAAAGAAAACAGTTTAGAAAAATAAAATTTTAAATACAAAATAGATTGCATAAAGTCAGAGCAAAGGCATACCTTTGGACATGCATCTGAACCTGGTTGTCCAATTAAAAAGTACAATTGTTGTTCTTTTTCTAATTCAATAACTCCTCGCACAAGGGAACCCAAAGTACTTCCCATTCCACCAGATCCTCGTCCTCCACGTGCTCCCATAGCAATTACACTAAAGTTAAAATTTATTATTAATATTAAGTCTATCTTAAAATTCATTGTAAAGTCTGGTAAAATTAACAAAAAGAAGTCACAGTGCTACAAATAAAATCAATTTTTTTAAAATTTACAAATATTCAAATTATACTAACGTATAGTAACCGCCTCTAGGTGCAGTCCAACGTTGGATTCCTTTGAGATTAAAATTAGAAACTTCTTCACTTGAAGAAGATGAAAGAGAAAAAGGAGTAACTTCAATATTCGTTCCATTATATTCGTTAGCACATTGTGTTGCAGTTGGACCCATTCTTCCAAGTTGTCCGCAAGTTGTAATTCGAACAACTGAATAATAATAATTATTTATAAAATCTTATTACATGCAAAATGAGTCTTTTTTATAATCACTTGAGATATTTAAAACTTATTTAAAAAATTTTTTTCTAAAAATAGTGTAAACATTATTTAAATTACCTGTTTCGTTAATAAAATCGATGCTTTGACTCTTAGGGTTTATGGAAGATTCTATAACTGGATCATAATAATTATATCCCTTTAAAGCCTCCGGTGGAACTCCTGTAACAGCAATTTATTTTATTTTATGAATTTAAATTAATTATAATAATTATTAATTTATTTTAATTATTTTTTAAAATTTATTTATTCAAATTTAATAATTTTCTAACTAAAATTTAATTAATTAAATTAAATAAATAATTTAAATTATACCTATTCCAAAACATTCAGGACTGAGTGAAAAATCGTCTATGGCAACGTCCCCTTTTGAAGCGTATGCTCTGCTGGCTTCGAATTGCAAAAAGTACCTGACTCGAATATCAGGTAAGGCAACTGCTTGATTATACCATGCATCTTTTTGATCACCAAATGTCCACCAAAGACGATCTGTTTGATTTTGGTGTTTCTTTACTTGTACCAAATATAATCCAAGTGAACCACTGTGTGCTCCATATTGATGATAAAAAAATCGAACCTTTTAAAAAAATTATCATTACAAGTAGAATTTAAATTAATTTAATGTGGTTTTAAAAATTAATTTGACGAGACTTACTTGACACGTTTGAAAATATGGACTTGTTGGGTCACTGCTGTAGGGGGGCGTTGGATTAAATAAGGGGCTGTTTATAGTACCCCGACTACCATAATCGGCTCGTTTTGACATATTAACATATGCAAATGTTCCTGTAACATAAATTTAAACATTCAAATTATTGATTTTTATAAAAAGGAATAAACATTAACAAATTCATTTAATCAATAGTAATTGAAGTACCAGTTTCATTTCGATATGTGTGATCGTAACTTGGACCCGTTCTTTCAGTTGGAGTAGGACCTTGATGAAGAGTCCAATTTAAGGGCCTACCAGGAACATTATTCCATCCACACCATCCACTTTCAAAATTACATCTTGCCGTTTCGGGTACCTTGTCTGTAAGACAGAAAAAATACATTAAAATTCTTTTCTTTAGTAAAATAAAATCCGATGAAAAAGAGAAAAAAAAAATTACCACAATCTTGTAATTCATCTTCACCATCGGCACAATCTTCAGTTAAATCACAAACTCTCGTTCTGTTTAAGCAGGATCCATTGTTACATCGAAACATGTCCGTGGTGCAAACTGAACCAACTGCATTGTATTCTGTTTCAAAAATATAAGCAGAAAATTAAAAAAATCAATAAGCTATGCAATTTTTTTAATTAATTTTGTTTAAAAATTCCAGTTCTCGTGAACTGTTTTGTACCTGGAAAACAATCCACTAGACGAATGTTATCAACAGCAAAACTTGAGTCAGTAGTTGGCATCGTAACTTCCAAAATCAATTTGTAAGGTTGACTGATTGCTCCTAAATTGAATCTTATCGGTTCCCATCTGTAATTAATTTTTAATTTAATTAATTTGTAATTTTTTTATCAAAACTTTTTGATAAGTATTAAATTTTCCTTTGCAATTTTGAAGAATCGCAATAATAATAAATTTTGATACTTACACTGCATGATCGTTCCCAGATCTTTCAGCAGCAACTAAACTAGTGTAATTATTTGTTACTATAACTAAGCGAATAATTCCATTTCTCATTTGAACCTGATGACTCGATAAATCCAAAAGACATCTCGAACCTGTTTTGGGAATAGATCTTATAGTCCATAGTTGTCCTTCTTTTCGCTCGTTCAGTAACAAAAAATATCCTGAAAAATATCAATAAATTAATAATGAACTAAAAAAATTAATAAGAAATTCCTTTTTCAAAATTAGATTTTTATATATACCGTTTTTATTATTGCTTGCATCCGTCATAGGACCTAAATGTTCATCTGCCGGAGCGGCAGTAATTCTAAAACCAGCAGTTTCATTCCAAGACCAATCACAAAACTCTTCAAAATCACAATACCCTGTAAAGGGAGATGGCTGAACAGAATTAAAAACAAATCTCTGTAATTCTTTGATTCCACGTGGTACTCTCAAATTTGTTTGCTGTTTTTCACAAACAACATTTACAATACAATAGAATGTCAAAACAACAATGAATAATAAAGTACTTTCCTTTTTTATATGTAATTCACAAAATCTTGAACTCAAAATTATAATTGTTTTTGACTTCACTTTAATCATCACTTTAATTACTTTAGGTATTTAAATCATAGCAAGAATATTCATTAATAATTATCCAGGTATTCGTTGTTCTAATATTGATAATTGTTTAATGCTAGAAATTAGCAGCATTATTTTATAATTTTATTTGCTTCAAACTTCATTTATTAAAATAGAATAAAAATTTTTGCTATTCAGTTATAGTAATGTTTACAGCTACCTGAAACAAAAAAAAATACGAAATAAAAAGAAAAGTAAGGAAAATCATTAAAAAAATTATTTTTTGTTTTATCGAATCACTTTGATGTGTCCTCATTTGAGGGACATATCACTCTCTTCACGTGCGTGACAATGATACGCGACGCATATGCTTGTAAGTATTTTTATAAATAGTTATTTTATTTTTTCATGTCTTAATTGAATAATTTTTACAAACTCACACGTATATAGAATCTCCTTTGTATGGAGTAAAGTCCCAAACGCAGTTATATTAATTGATTGAAATAAATCTTTCTATAATAGGATCAAATCAAAAAAATATTTGTATCGATATTTTAAAAATAATAATCAGAAACCCTCTATAGATGTCGAGGCTACCTCCTATCTACTTTATTATTTATTTGATATATTTTTATCTTTTTAATGTATTATGTATATTAATTTCAAAATTAATATTTATTTTAAAGGAGTTCTTAATTGAACAAAAATAATAAATAATTGCATTTTCTGCAATTTATTTAATTCAACATTAAAAATTAATTATATTCTTAATTTGTATAAAAATCATAAATTATTAACATCTAACTAATAAGAATAAATTTAGGTGGGCATGCAATTTTATTTGAAACGCACTCTTAATATTTTGAGTTAACTCTTCTTACCAATAAAGTAGGAGGAAACATTAACGAATAATGCACTAGACACTGCTATGTGATGAGAGCATCAACTCCGATTAAACTCTTCCTCTTTCTTCAATTATAAAATGCCTTCCTTTAGGAGAGATTGAATGTTTTTCATGACGGGACGTGTTCATGTATACACTTGTATTTATGTGTCTCTTCTCTATCTTTATCTAGACGATAGACGACGACGAAAATAATATTCGTTAACTCACATATACAGTGTCTCCATATTTTTGGCAGAAAAAATTTTCCTTTAAATAATTTTCAGCAATAATTATTATTGTTTTTTTTTTTTTTTATTATTATTATCAATCCCTCACAATATGGTTCTTTTGCTATTAGTGTTCTTTACATGTTGGATTTTTTTTTTCTTAGAGAAAATATAAAGATTTTATTTATAAAATAAATAATTACATTAGTACCTTGTGTATTTATGATAATAAATGTACTTGAATTTTGCATTCAACTACTATAACTTGTTAAAAAAAATTAAAAAATTTGTTGACTTAATGGAGAGTAAAAACGAAAGACTCCACCCCTGTTAGAAGGCCACTGATACGCGACTGCGCTTCTCTGAGATCTGACAGATGCTGTGTGAAAGCTCATGTGGATGCTGCGCATCCAGTTCTCTATTACTTGTAAGAGTAATAATACAGATTGTGCCAAATGCATCCCTTCTGAAAGAGCACACTATGAGTCAACTCGGTAAGCTATATAGCTTATGCGTTAAACAAAAGAGTGAGAATCATTCATTATGTTGCGTTCATTAAAACATTAAAATTATTTATTTCTCATAATTATTATTAAATAATAAATAAATAATAAATTATTAATTAAAAAATTTAGCCTTGAAATTCAACTACCATTGGATAATTGACTGGAAAAAAGTTGTTGATTGTTGAAGATTTGAACCTTCGATTTTCAATACCGACTACTGACTTTTTTTACTTATTTCCTTGTAAATTTTTTTCTTTTTAAAAATATTCTTATTCCTTAATATAGTTGAAATAAATTATATAAACTATATGACTTACAAATAATAAAAACAATTATTATTATTCTTGATACATTATATTTTACAATTGTTCATTCTTTATCAATGTCCATTTCAACAGGACTTTCTTCATCACTTGAAGTATCACATTCATCGGTACTTTCATCTTCAGAACTTGAACTTCCGAGCCACTCTTGAGAAGATAAATCATCTTTGATAATTGTGGTCCATTTATCGAGTTTCTTACAGTCTTAAAAATGTTTATAAAATAATTATATATTATATTTTCTTTAAAAATATTTTTAAAAAATTCGCAACATTATATTTTTATAGAAATTCAAAGGACTTACCTAGATAATAAAAATCATTGAAGGTATATTGTTTATTTCCATCTTCAAACATTCCTCCATATAAATATAAATTATTGTTTTTGACTGCTAAACCTGGATTAATTCTTGGACAGGGAGTAAATGATTCGAGTTTTGTTTCTTCCATCACAGAACTAGATGTCTTTGGTGCTGGACCAACAGTCATCTATAAAATAAATGAAAACAACAAATAAATGAAATTAAAAATTAGTTAAAAATTGTTTTCTTTAAATTGAAGACATTCTATATACCGTAAATATACCGTCGTCATCGGTTGTAATAATTTTTTCTTCAACTGGCTCTTCAACAACCATCGATTCTTCTTCTTCTTCTTCATCTACAGTTCCTTTCTCCTTTCTTCTTTTTTTTCGTTCTTCCTGTTCAAGCTTTGGATTTAATGTAACTATAAAAATTCATATTTAACAATATATTTAAATAAATTCTCATCAATATTTTTAAACAATAAAATAATCTAAGTAAACAACGAATTTAATACCTGTATACCATTGATATTTTTCTAAATTCAATGCAATTAGATCATTATAAAATTTTCCGCTTAGATCTTCTTCATTATCGTCGTCATCATAAACACCTCCAAATAAATATGCTAAATTTTGTTGAACTAAAATTGCTGTTGAACTACAACGTGGTGACAATTTAATTCCTCCTTGGTTTACTAAAGTCCATTTCCATTTCGTCCCAGTTGAATCATTTTCTGTTAAATAAATAAATTTACACGCTAGCAACAAAAATCAATTTTCCAAATTCCCTGACATTTCTCTTAATTATTAATAATTCAATGACATTAAAAAAAAATTTCCCTGACAGAAAAATGTTATACTACAGATAATGAATTTCTTATAGATTAATCTAATGATATGAAATTGAAAAATCATATTTTAATGTTATTATTCTTAATAAACTTACTATCTGGAGCTAAAAGAAACATATCTGTATGAACTTGGCCTTTATCAACATCCTTTTTTATTCGCTGTTTACTGTAACCACCATAAACAAGAAGTTTATTGTCAGGAGTTGGAAGCACAATACATCCAGATCTCGGATTAGGTGAATTTCCTTAAAACATATTTGTCATGAAAAATTATCGTAGAAATAAAAAATATATGGCAAAAATTGTTATTGAAAATTACCAGATACTTCTATTTTACTCCACGTATAACTACTTAGGTCAAAAATATAAACATCATTAAAATATTTGTAATCTCTTAGATTGTCGTGAAATCCACCAAATATAAATAATTGTTTTTTCATATAAGTCATTCTGTGACCACTTCTTGCTGTTGGACCACCAGGCGCACTATAAGATTATAAAAATATTTTTGAAATATTTGAATTAGATGATATTTAGATCTCGCAAATCTTCCAATAGAAATGAAAAATGGAAATATAATCTGATAAATATGATCAGAACAATCACTTACCTTATTTAATATAAATAAGTGTAATTATGTCTAGGTACAAAAGTAATACAAATTATGCATTTGAAAATAGAGATATTCACTAGTAAACTGATATATTAAGGCGCACCGTGCTCCTTTTTTTTAGGTTTGACTACATCGCGAAAGTTATTAAATCCAGGTTCATTAATTATGTATATTGTCATAATAACGAAATTTCAAATTTTATATAAAAATTATCTTTAATTTTTTTAATTTGAAAAATACAAATATCTATATAAACAATACTCACGTTATTTTTTCCCATTTCTTTTCCCCCAGACGGTAAACCCATAAGTCCCGATAATGATAAAATTGAGATTCTGATTGACTCGTATATTCGCCACCAAAAATCCATAAATCTCCCTTACCCGATGGAACAATTGACGCCTGATGACCACATCTCGGGGGTGGTGCACCTGGTACTTTTATAACAGACCATTCTTTTTTATTCAAATTATAAAAGAACAGATCGTTATAAACAATAGTCTGTAAACAAAAAATTGAAATAAATAAATAATAAATGAAAATCCAATGTAAACTATAAAATATTTAGAAATTAAATTTAATTTAGAATAAATTAAATATTCTAAAAAAATAAAATATTGTACTTTTTGGCCATTATGAAATTCACCTCCAAACATAATTAATTCATCTTTGAATGGATGCACAGATAATGTAAAGTTTACTCGTCGTGAAGGTGGTGCAATAATACATTCTGTAACTCGATTACGTTTAGCTTCTTCTTTTTCGATGTTAGCTATTATTTTTTCAATGTCATCCTAAAAATAAAATTTACTTATTAAAAAGAAATTAAGTAACTTACAATTTTTTTTAAATTATAAAGTGTAACTTATAAATAAATATAAGTATAATGGTAAATTATAAAGTATAAATATTTTACAAAGAAATTAGTAGAATCAATCGCGAATATATCGTTTCTAAAAAAATTAAAGCGTTTCTTTTTTTTGTAAGTTTTCATTATGATAAGAACATAGTCTACTAATTTAGAAAGTGTATTAGCGATTAATTTAAAAAAGGAAATTAAAAATTAGAAAATACCACATGGCATCGAAAAAATAAATGTTATTATTTTAAATGATAACAAGTAAGTTTTTAACAAAATTAATTATTTGAACAATAAATAATATTTTTAGAGTTAATTTAAGTACCTCGCCAGCATCAGAAAGTTCTTTTTTTCGTTTAGAATTAAGTTTTTTTTCCGTTTTAAGAGCAGTTTTTTCCATGCCGCTCATTTTCTTATTTTTATTTTTTTTACCCATGTTGCTATTAAAAAATGAAAATTTGATTTGTTACAAAAAGTAAATGTTTCTTTTTCTTGTTTGGCTTTTTGATTAATTATACTGGATATAAATGCACAAGAATACCGGGTTCAAATACACAGGTTAACCTCAAATTTCTTACGTTTACAAAACACTGTTTACCTCACGTTTACCTTAAAGGCAAAAACATAATACCTCATGCATCTCATTCGCGAACTTATTGTGTGTTAGCCCTAATGGTCGTCATGGTAACCTCCTATTTACCAATTTTAACGTATGATACATTACCGTAACGTAACATGGGTTTTTTACCTACCCATTACTGGTAAATTGATTCATTTACTGCGACTGCGCTAAACAGTATCAACATTTGTCAATCTTTAGAGTGTAAATTTCATTTGGTCTGCCGGTTTTAAACTATAAATTTTTGTAAGTAATAATGACAGATTATGAATTATTTTATCAAAATTGCAGCATAAATAGGTTGCACTCTTAAATTTTATTGAACTTTTCAAAAGTTTTAATATCATTTCAGTCAGTAAAAATGAAAATTTATAACTATAAATTGAATATAAATGATATACTATATATATTCAAGAATACTGCAGTAATTATTTACATATGGTTATAATTCTTATGTTATACATTATCATTAAATTTTCTTTAACTCAACTAAAAGTTTTACAACTTTTTCGTCACTCTTTTGTTGTGTGTAAGATGAAATTATATACTTCATAAAAATTGATGTAGGTATATTGAATTTTGTTATATTTCATCATCCTCTTAATGGATTAAAAAAGACTTGTATGAAAAAGTTAATAAATTTTGCAAAAAACAATTCTCATTGATCACTAATAATTTTAGTAGTTTAAATTTTGTTTGGTGCGTTTTTACAACTACTTTTATATGAAAGATTTTTATTTATTATTGTAAGCGGATACATGCACATAAGAAAATCCTAGAAAACTCAGTGGTCTCAGCTCTTATAGTCACAGTGGTCAATATATTGACCATCTTTTAATATGACTGAAGAATATAAAAATCCATCAGATTTGTTTAAATCTCGTTACTTGGTTTCCCTGATTATGAAATTGATGTTAGATTTTCAAAATTTATAAAATTCAATATGGCGGATCCAATATGGCGGATGAAAAATCTTAAAGTCATACAGATTTGCTTGAAACTTGAAAAAGTAATTTTAAAAAATATTAATAATTAAATTATGATACATATTCAAGAAAAAAATTAATTTCTCTATACCAAATCACTTTTATTAAAGTCCATATGAATTTAAAACAAAAAAATAAATTTGTTTTTGAACAAACTCAAGGATAATTTTTTATCTTTTCTCTTTTAAAATTTTATCACTTATTGTTAAATTCGATATTATCTAATAATTATAAAGTAGATTGCTTTTAGAGATAGCCGGCGGAAGTTTCTAAGTATAGATTTTAGCTATGTTGGAATTTGCATTGTGAACTATACCCTGCCAAATTTCATAGGTACTTTCAGTGATTTAAGTGTCACTGTCAATGTCAAGAATCACTTAGCAAATTGAACTTTTATTGTCATTTTTAATTATTTCAAAAATTATTTTAAAAATTGTAATTTATTTATTATAAATATGTATCTACGATATTATACATTTAAAAGATCGAATGTCATTAAACAATAAATTTTAATTCAAAAACAATCATTTCAGATTCAATTTTTTATCGTCAAGTAGCAGTCTTTTGTCATTTAAAAAATTATCAAAATGGACCAATTTCAAACGCATCGAAAAACAAGTATTTTTCAGTATTATGCCTACAATCCCGGTGGTAAGTAATTTTTTTGATTACTACTTATTAAACAAGATGAAATTTATTGTTTGTTTAATGATGGATCACTTGAGGAATTTTACCCCTTCTCTGTTTATTATTGAAACTATGTAAAAATTTTGTATCAAATTGGAATTTAATTTTAAAACTCATTTAAAGTAAACAGTACACTACACAGAATGTAAATTTTTAGTTACTGATCTATACTGATCTTTCTCAAATAATATAACCAACTGTGATAATCAGCAATGATTAGGAAAGAGTTGTCACATAATTAACATAGGTTGATTACTGTTATGCTGGAGAAGAGTTCTTATTAGAATTAAAGACAATATCTGAAGATGTGAAGAGCAATGAAATTTCATTGTTAGAACAAAATTGAAATTAAGAAAAAAAGGAATTTTTATATACATTAATTCCTTTTTATATATGGGTCAAAATTTCTCAACTAATCCAACTTTAAAAATTGAAGAATGTCGAGTCAGTCTGAAATTTATTCAAATATTAATACTGTAGGTAAGTATATTCTAACTTGAAAATTAAGAACCAAAAACATTAAATAAAAAGAAATAAACTACAATAGATTCCATCTAATTTTAATTTCTCCTTTTTTCTTACTTTGTCTCTAACTTTTTTTAGTTACACGTAAAGTTAAATTAAATTTATTAAGAATTTTTCTTTTCAGAACTAACGCCAGATACTGGCAAGAATATTGGTCCTTTAATTGGTGTGATCGATGTAGGAACTCGAACTGTTCGTTTTGTGGTAAGGATTGAATTTTATTTACTAAATTCTAAATTGGGTCTATTTTTTAATTTTCTAAATTTTAAATTAAAATATATTTTATTGAAATTTTATTAAAACATTTTGAACCAGGTTTTCAAAGCAAAACATGTTGCTGAATTTGTATCTCATCAAATTGATATTGAACAAATTAATCCACAAGAAGGATGGGTTGAACAAGATCCTAAAGAGATCCTCTTTGCCATAAAGGCCTGTGTTAAGGATGTGAAAAAGAAATTAGAGTCTGTTAATCTCAGTATAAGTGATATTATTACAATTGGCATTACAAATCAGAGAGAAACTACAATTGTTTGGGATTCAATTACAGGAGAACCTTTATACAATGCAATTAGTAAGTTCTTACTTTTGTTTTTATCTTCAAAAAGTATTTTTATTTAACTAACTCTTCAAACGTTTAAATTTATATCTGTCACTCTCATTAATCAATCGCTCAAATTAATTACTTTTCAATTCTTTTATATTGACGAACAGAAAATTAAAATTCAATCATTTTATTATCTTTTACAGTAATTTTTCTGGTTTTTAGATACTGATGTTTAATTTTATCAATAAATAATTAAAAATATTAAATTTCACATTTATTCTCAATGAAATATAACTTTCTAGTGTGGTCCGATATAAGAACAGACTCAACTGTGGATCAAATAATTGCCAAGTTTCCTGATCACAGTAAAAATCATTTAAAACCCCTTTGCGGTCTACCTGTTAGTCCATATTTTTCAGCATTAAAAATTCGGTGGTTAAAAGACAATGTTCCTGCGGTTAAAAAAGCCATTAGAGATAAAAGATGTAAAGTTGGAACAATGGACACTTGGGTAGTTTGGGTATGCAAAAATATTACTATCACTAGTCTACGTATATATATTATACGTACTAATGTGTTGCTGAAAAATTGGGTATCTGCAAAACTCGTGAAAAAAATTGTCTGTCTGAAGAATTGAAGTTTCGATTTTCAGTAAAAAAAGTCGAGGAGCCATATCAGATAATCAAAATTTTTACAAAATTCTGATTGTTCTAAACTGATTCATTTGTTATTTTTTTCGAAAATTTTGCTATTGTAATAATTATCAATATTTTTGCGAATATTTAGCTTAAAATATATTTGCTTTATTTTAACTGCAGACCCATTTTTATCAGCGAGAGCGCACCAGACTACTTAAGTATGTATTAAAAATATCACCGTTAAGTTTTCTTCTTGTTTAGAATTTAACGGGTGGTAAAACTGATGGTCTTTACATAACCGACGTTACTAATGCTTCAAGAACAATGTTGATGAATATCAAAACACTGACATGGGATCCTACTTTGTGTAGGTACTTTGAAATTCCAATGAAACTTCTACCAGAAATCAAAAGCAGTTCTGAAATTTATGGTAATATTGCGGTTGGTCCTTTGAAAGGAATTCCCCTATCAGGAGTAAGTTCCATCATTTCATAATATCTAATATTCTCGAGTATTATTATTATTATTATTTCTATTTTTATTCATCTTTAGATATTAGGTAATCAGCAATCGGCTTTGGTTGGTCAAAATTGTCTACAACAGGGACAAGCAAAAAATACTTATAGAAGTGGCTGTTTTCTTTTATGTAATACTGGAACCTCGGTATGTGATTCTATCATATAATTCATTTATTTAATATTATTTTGCAAACGAAACATTTTTTATAGAGTGTGTTCTCATCACACGGCCTAGTGACAACTGTTGCCTATCAGTTTGGTGCTAATAATCCTCCAATCTATGCCTTGGAAGGTTCCGTTGCTGTCGCAGGCGCAGCAGTTAAATGGTTAAGAGATAATATGAAACTTATAAAAGACGTTCACGAGTGTGAAGACTTGGCGCAAAGTGTATTCAACACTGGAGATGTGTACTTTGTGCCCGCTTTCTCTGGGCTTTATGCTCCATATTGGAGGAAAGATGCGAGGGGGTTCGTGTCTCAATTCTATATGTTTTTAATAATTAAATTGACGAATCTCTTTTTTAAAAAGTTAACTCTAATTTTTTAGATTCTATGAATAGAAAAATGTATTGGAATGATTTTTCAGAATAATCTGCGGCCTTACTGCCTTCACAACGAAGCAACACTTAATACGAGCAGCATTAGAGGCTGTTTGTTTTCAAACTAGAGATATTTTAGAAGCAATGCACAAAGACTGTGGTTTTCCATTAACGAAATTACACACAGATGGAATAATGTCTACAAATAATCTTCTTATGCAGTTACAAGCTGATCTATGTGGCACACCAGTGTGTAAGTAAAATTATTGAGTAGTTCATTGATAATATTATTAAAATTGCAATTTATCTCTTAGTTAGGTCTACAATGCCTGATATTACTGCATTAGGAGTAGCAAAAGCAGCTGGTCATGCTGAAGGAATAGGAATTTGGGAATTAGAAGGTGAAGGAGTTGAAACGGTCGTTATGGACACATTTTTACCGACAACGACACCCGAAGGTAATTAACCCTCTTCCTACTCCGTTGATATCAACAAAAATCGACAATTTTTAATTAGCATTTCAATACATATAATTTTTGATATTTCAGAAAGAGACAGAAGGTACAAGAAGTGGAAAATGGCTGTGCAAAGAAGCTTAGGATGGGCAACTGTTAAAATGTCTGATCAAATGACAGGTAAGTTTATCATGGCTTACAGCAATATATGTGGGTTGTTAGGTCAAAATATTTTCAACAAGTTACATTTTTAAAAATGATAAATAATCCAAAGCGATATTAATTTCAAACAATAATGCCAAAGATTTATTGTATACTATAGATCGATAAAAAAATCAATTTTTATTTTGAATAGAAGAACATATAAGAAAACCTCTCGAATATTAAAAAAAATGTTGGCACACATAACAAATGAGTCTGTTCAATAAAATTTTTGTTGCAGATGAAAGATATCGAATATTGGCGTCCATTCCTGCTAGCTGGTTTTTATTATCAAGTTTTATTTTATTAAAAATAAGTCAATATTTCAGTGCACGGTGACAGATTTAGAAAAATTTAATTTTTAAATAGATCAAGTAGAACTTGAATTTTTGAATTATCACAATAATGCTATCACGAAAAGCATTTTGAATAAATAGCTTTTAATTATTATGATTTGAAAAAATATAGGGGGGGGATAAATAAAAATATATGATATATTGTATATAAGGTATACACAAGAGTATTCGATTTACTCATGTTTATTGCTTGGTATAGAAGATCAATCAAAGAATAAATTTCTTAATTACTTTGCATCTGTTAAAGGTATTATACAAAAGGAAAATAAAAACAATGTTAATTACTTGTTAAAAAAAATTATTCCTTAAACATTTAACCCAGGTGCGACGTTTTTTTTATAACAATCTAAAATTGATAAAAACAATTTTAATGATCTCACGATGTTATATATTTTGTTATTACATCATTTAGGTCCTAAAAACCTATAAGTTAGTCAAAAAAAGAAAATCTTAATTTTTGACTATTTTAGAATTTGTATTGAAAGTAGTTCCATTTTTAAAAATCTTAATTTTTTCAAAATTATATACTCTAAAATAGTCAAAAATTAAAATTTTCTTTTTTTTGACCACCTTGTATGTTTTTAAGATCCAAATGATGAAATAAAAAAAGTATAACATCTGCAATCATTAAAATTTAAAGGGATTAAAATAAAGGTGGTGCCTCCCAATTTTAAATTTAAATAAAATTTTCTTCACCTATAGAATTCATATAAAACAGTGTACAACACAATATTTTTAATTTATTTTTGATGTTTATTTCTTTTTAAAAATAAACCACTATTTTTTCTCTCCATTGAGTTTATTACCTCTTCGTATATCAAGTATTGTATATTCGCTCATCATCTTATTTTGCATTAATAGTGAATAAACCTGTGCTATTTATATTCTATGCAGAAACAGTCAAATGAAAGACTTTCTTTCGAGCCGCGGAATGCGCACGTATAGAATGTGTATTTACGAGTTCAGGAATGTTCAACTTTTAAATATGAAATTACTCAGATGAAATTTCTTGAAAATCGATCAGAAATTTTTATATTAAACGACAATATCTTTCTTTTTTAATAAAATATTTCAAGAAAAATGAAGCATTTAATCTCTATGAGAAAACAAATGAAAAAGAAATTAAAAAAGTACTTTAAATTGACAGCGGTTTTATTATTAACATTATTAAAATGCATACTTTAACATAATTCGATAGTGTTCAGAATTTAAAAAAATGTTGTGCTAAAAAATTGAAACATATTTTCAATGAAAAAATTTCAACGTACAGGTTGAAAAAACATGATTTCTAAATAAAATTTGACCTTGAAGATATTAATCGGATCCGTGGATTTTTGTTTCGCTGTCAACGAATTTTTTTTTAAAAAAGATTTCTGCGCTTCCTGCAAATAGTATAGATTCGCATAAAAAAATTTGGTAAATTCATTGTGACCCCAAATATGATTTCCAACTTGTATTTTGATTGTATTAGCTATTATAAATTAATAACAAAATTTAATTCTTTAAACTTAGACAAACTTTTTTTTAAATTTTGAACACAGAAAAGTTTTTCGTTTTTTGAATTTTAAATATTTTTTAACTAATTTTCACTTAAAAGAATTTTTAGGTATAGAATTTTTATTCGAAAGAATTTTTATTTTACAGAAATTATCGCTTTATCCAACTTTTTATTTGAAAGAATTCTAATTTAGCCGAACTTTAATTTAACAAAATTCTCATTCTGGCACTAAAAAATTCGAATTATATTTAAAATTTTGTTGAATGAGAATTTTGCTAAATTAAAATTCGACTTAATTGTAATTCATTTAAATAAAAAATTTGATAAAGAGAATTCCTGTAAAATAAAATTTCTTTCAATTAAAAATTCGGTTAAATAAAAATTCATTTAAAAATAAATTCTATAGAATGCTAATTCGAAAAATGAAAATTCGTGTAAAAAATATAATTATAACCTTGTTCATGAAATGTGGCGAAATTTGAAACCATAACATTTGGTTATTTCTGATTTTTAATATTACGTAGAAATCGGAGTTCGAAATCTTAGAAATGTTAATTGTTTATTAAATTTTTGTTTCTTATGACCTTATGAAACAAATTTAAAGTGCGTTAATTTTTGTAATTTATAATATAATTATATTTTAATGTAAAAAAAATTGTATTATAATTAAAAAAAATTTCATTTTGAAGTATGTATAAATGCACGTTAGAAATGAGTTGATATTTTCTATTGTGAGAAATTATTTTTTTGCGTGTCAATAAGGGCGTACACTCCCAGTGAGTTTTAATTAATACATTTATCATCGGCAAGAGATCATCTCCGGGAGAGTGCTTTGCGTTAAATGGGTATTACCTAGATCGGTGTATTTAGGATCCACTCTTCAGACTTTTCCAATTTTACAAATGAGAGTGGGAAGAACAGAAAACGAGATTCTGGTAGGAGGGATTATTAGCGTTAGAGAGGCGCGAGGGAAAGATACTTTTAGCCACGCAGCGTTATACGACGTCGCGGCGCCCGGTATCAGTAGTCGCGTACCTTGGACCACTTGTACCTTGTCAATTTTTGAATATGTGGTTACTTAGTTGATGAACAGCTGAATCTGTCTGCATTGCCGCCGGGAAATTAGTTGCCAAACAATTTTGTAAATTCGTCACTTTAATTTTCACATTATTTTTTTCCCTCTATTTTATTCTCAACTATATGAAATCTATTTCCCTCAATCTCATCTTCTTGCAATATATTTTGATGTTATTTATAAATATTTAAAGCTCATTTTTGGAGAGCGATAATTGTGAATTGTGAAGAGTTTTTTTACACGTTTTTTTTTATTGCAGTTTATTTATTAATAATCGTTATTATTAAAAGCTAATTATTTCATAATTTTTTGAAAATAAGTGCAAATTTTGGAATTTTTTTTTATGCAATTTTGTTTATTATGATACATTCCTTATATGATCTAATTTTTGTGAAAATGCAGTTGAATTTTATTTTATAGAGGCATTGAACTTATTTGAAAAATAAAATAGTTTGTTTATATTTGTAAATGTTGATGACGCGGGAATATAAGAGGCAAAGTAATTGTCGGTGGTCATGGCGGAACAATTTATCGGTAAAAAACGTTTTCGTCGAAACAGTAGTGATTCTCATTTAAGTGGATTTACAAGAGGAAAACGTTCGAACTCTAAGGATCGATCTAAAAGAACAAATAAACCTGTCAAAGAGCGATGGTTACTAACTCGAAAGACATGGCGCTATATGGCAGATGCAAGTCGTAGATTGATTCCTGAAGGAAGTTATCATCGGCCTGAGGATATACCGAAAATAGAACAATATTTTCAGGAGGTTTGTCAAAAGGAACCGAAATTTTTATTATGGAGAAAATCATCTTATCCTGGAGCTCAAGGATTCAGAACACATTATAAAAGAAGACTGATAAAAGGAGGAAGTGTTCGATTGAAAGCAAGTTCCGCTGATGAAATTGATGTTTCAAGAACAATTACTAGGGACTCTGATAAATTAAAAAAAGAATATAGTTTACCTCCTTCTAATGAGAGAGAAAAATTTTCTCTTTTATCAAAGGGACCACAAGTATCACAGGAAGATGTAGAATCAAAATCTCTAGCTGATATGCTCCAAAAGTATCTAAGTCTGAGAGGAGAAACATCTTGTGAGACAAGATCTTCAACACAATCTAATATTTCGACAGATTCTGAAGAGAAAAAGAAACCTCTCGATTATCAGAGTCTTACAGGCAAATTACAACAATATTTGGATCAAATAATGACAGAAAATCAACAAGAGGAATTAAGCTCAAGTACTAGTCATACTGTAAGCAGAAGTGCTTCTAGGACGATGGTTCCTTATCAAAGTGACTATGTCCATAAGTCTTTATTAGAAACGCTTAATCGTTATTATAATAAGTCTTCAAATCGTGAACACGTAATATCCAATATTCTCACAGATAGAAAGCTTCTTGAAAAGTTATATTTTGATTTAAGGTGTACCAGAGGATTTAAAAGATCACGTGGAACTGGTGTTTACACTTCTCCTTCTTCTTCTAATTGGTGTAGTAATTCACAATATCGAACTTCTGAAGGAGATAAATGGAGTAAAGTTTCAGAAAATAGACAATCTACATTGCCTCGGATATCAGTGCAACAATCCAGCAAAGAAAAAGAAACCATAAACGTATTTATTCAAACAGATCCTGTTCCTTGGGAAGTGTTAGAAAATCTAATTCGTGAACGTGATGCCGAAGAAATTAATCGAAAGGAGATGCGTAAACCAACAGAATCTCGAAGAAGTAGTGTTGATAATGATGATGTTTCACCATCAGTCAGTGATACAATTAAAAGATATCTTAGAATGGCAAGAAAAAAATCTGTTGATGTTACAAAAACTGACAGATTCAAAAGAATTAATTATGATCGCAATTTAAGGAATATTAAAGCTAAAGGAGAAATTGGAATGCCTAGCGATGATGATGAAAATAACAAAGGTTGTCAGACTGAAGAGAATTGGATTACAAGCTTTCGGGATTTAATTTCTGAAGGTGATTGTCCTTATACAGAATCTACGACTTCACCTGATAGTAGAAATGCCAGTTCAAGGAGTAGTATTGATGCTGGTCTCAGTTCTGAAGAGGTATCTCTGTCTCCTAAACATCAGCAATCTTTTTTATTCAATTTCCTACATAAAGATAAGTCTCACTCGGTGCCAAGTTCTTCATCACTTCTTTCATCCACATCATCAAATGGTACAACAATGCAAAAGAGTAAGTCTTCAAGTAGCATTCTCCACCATGGAAATAAATTGGTGACGAAAAAAATTTGGCCTTCCAGAAGTAAAAGCTCTTCTAGACTTCATAATCAACCATCTGTATGGACTCCTCAGGTAACATACATATTAAATAACTCTAGGATATTTAAGGATAATAAATCACTATAAGAATCTACAAAAGCATTTGCAGTGACTAATTCACGTATTTGGTAAATTAATTAATATTAACAATTTTACGAATAGGGAAAATGTACTTGGGCTGGTGCAGCAGGTCGTCGTGTCACTTTATTAGACACACATCTCCGTGATTTATCAGATATCGAAAGGAAAGTTCTTTGCCGTATTGCTGTTGCAAAATTACAGGCCTTAAATCTTGGTGTTCATATCAGGCTTCCCACAGGTAAAAACTGAATATAATTCAAGTCTTTGTTTGATTTGTACTTGCTATAATTAATTTTTTTCCATGTGGGTAAATATACAACTGTATTTCCAGAAACACAAGCACGCACTTCAATCCCAATGAGACCAAAGAGAAGAGTAAATTTGTTGAAGAAAAAAAGTCTCAAAACAAGTCTCTTTGACAAGACAAATGAAGAAAAAGGTGAATAGTAATTTTATTTTAAGGCAAAAGATTTTAAAATTAAATATAAATAACAATTTAAAGTGGGTATTCTAATAGGTATACGTGCTTAATAGATAAATAGTTAGTAACATATTTTACAAATGATTAGAATTTAACAAATTAAAATCTCTTTTAGAATCGAGAGGAGGCCTTGTTTTTGGGATTCCCCTTTCACAATGTTTGGAAAATGACAGAATAGCAAAAATAAATTCCGAAAAATCATCAATTTCTGGATGTATAAATAAAGCAGATAAATACGGAAGTAGAGTTAGTTTCACTAGTGTGGCAGAAGCTTCTAATGCAACTTCTGAAAAATCCGAAGATGTATGTTGAACTTTCAGCAAAAGAATTATTTAATATCTGACATATAAAAGATTATTATATTTAAAAGATTATACATACATTTTTAATTTGAAAAAAATTTTCTAATAATCTAGGAAGGATCTTGTGAATCTTTGATGGAATCAAGCGACAGTGGAGTTGATGGGACGTTAGCTGATGATTTAGATGTTGTACCTGTATTAGTTCGTCAATGCATTAGTCATTTAGAAAAAGTAGGCCTTCATACACTTGGTTTATTTCGGGTTTCGTCATCAAAAAAAAGAGTTCGTGAGGTGAGTCGAAATTTTTATGATTTATTTATTTAATTCTTTCGATGCAAAAAATTGATTAAATTTTATAAACTTTTGATCAAAAATGTTTAACAGAATTTGATACCTTATACTTAGAATATTCGATTCAGAAAACGTATTTGTTTATAGTTACGAGAAGAATTTGACAGTGGTCGAGAGACAAAAATCGGATCAGATCAGTGCCCTCATGATGTTGCTGCTCTTTTGAAGGAATATTTACGCGATCTGCCTGATCCTTTACTTTGTCGAGACCTATATCAAGCATTCGTTCATACACAAAGTAAGAAAAACAAAATTAATTTAATTAATAGTAAATAATTAATTAATTATTAATTAATACATAATGTTCTATTAAATTTTCTCAATTGTGACGTTTTTTCCTAATCGAAAAACGTAGAATCAGGGATGATTTTTTCTAAAATTAATTTCTCACACTATATATATATTACTTTGCAGAAATTCGAAATAGACGTTTACAACAAGAGGCCCTTCAACATCTTATTCAATTGCTTCCAACACCAAATCGTGAAACTCTTTGGTTATTACTCAATTTTTTAAATCGAGTCGCTCAACACAGTGAAAATCAGAAGAATGAAACAGGAGAATGTATATTGGGTAACAAAATGGATGTAGTTAATCTTGCAACTGTAAGCAAAAAATGTTAAATTAACAAAATATTATTATTTAACAATAATCTTCGTAATAATTGTCGTTAATAAATCACGTGATTAGCTGTCGGCTAGATGAAAAAAATTAGTTCTTGAAACTATCATTGACAAGTCATTTACTTTTAGATATGTCATAAAATCGTTTAGAAAATAAAAGACCTCGCATCTAATCTCGGTAAGTATTATAATTTAATTAAGTTGATATTTTTAATTAATTATTTATAATCATTCAATTTTTTAAGGAAATTTTTCACACCTTGTGAAAAGTCAATTATCAAAACGAAATGTGCATCTCCCAAAAAAAATTAATATAAGTTCAAGAAAGTTAAGTGAATTTGTATTTTTTCGTCAACAGTCTAATGTTAAAGAATTAAATGAATTTTAAACATTCTATTCTATTAAACAAAACATGTGCACTATCCAAAAGTATAAATGACTGGTTCACTAAATTTTAAATAACTAATTTTTTTCCATGTTATTTTCGACTTCTCGCCCTTCTAAATAAGTCATAGGAATTAAAAATTATGCACAAAAAAAAACGTGTTCAAAAATAACTACAGAATTTAATTAAAAAGAACGTTCATCTAACAATTACATTAATTTATGAATGTCGTATTTTAATTTAATTTATAATCGACAAAATTTTTAAATCTGTTTTTCTGTTTTTTAGATTTTTGCTCCAAACATTTTGCACTGTGTCAAGCCTGGACAAACAAGATCTGAAGTTTTCATTGAAAGAGCAGAAGAAAGAATAGATGTCATTAATGTTGTTCGTTCTTTATTAGAAAATACATCAATTATTTTCACAGTACCCGCTGCTCTTTTAGATGAATTATATTTACATATGATGGACAGTCATTCAATGGAACTAGATCTCGTCCTAGCACTGCGATTCGAAATGTAAGTAATTTTAATTTTATTTATTTTCATCAAAATCCTATTTCACACCCGCAAAATCAAATTCTATATGAAAATTAAATTTTTTTTACAGGCAATGCGTCGATGAAGACTTATATCCTTCAAGTGAAGCAGAAACTTCAGCAGAAAACTCACCAAGAATGAACAAAATTGGATTAAAAGAACAATGTCAAAAAATTGTAAGTGATACAAAATTAAGTTCACAACGGCTAAAAAAACTTGACAGTCATACGACAGGAGGAAGAAAAACAAGTGTTGACAGCGGATCAAGCGAAGATCATTTGGACGTTAAGAAACATTCACCACAAACTGTTATAACAGCTAGCCTTACAATACCCATGTCTAGTGCGTTAAACTTAAATATAAACAATCTGGACATTCCTTACGTTGAAGAAGCACAACCAAAAGATCACCAATGCATACAAGCGAAAAAACAAAAGCAGCCTTTAATTTAATTTCAAGAACAAAATTCTTCTTGAATTTAACACAATTTTTAAACAGCCATCTACTAAAAGTGAATAAAACAAATTATATTTTTATGCTATTAAATAAAAAGACGTCTTTTTTATTATTAGCAAACCCATAATTTAAAGGATTATTCACAGAGAGTAATATAAACATTTTTGTTTCAAAGAAAAGTCCTTCCATTTCATTTTGATGATTTGAGTATTTATATTTTTTAATAAAAATATAAGATGGGTCAGTTTTTTCGAATCGCATTTTTTGACGCACATTATCAATTAAAGGATTCATTTAAAATTAGGAAAACTATTATTACAGTGTTATTTATTTATACATAAAATAAAATTTTAGATGCATAATTCATTTTTCAACTAGAAAAATATATTATATTTATTTACATTTCTTCAGTATAATTGCTTTTCTTATCATTTGTTTACATCGTGTAACATTAAATAATTAAATCTTATGAAAATAATATTATCCAGTGCATATAAGTAGTTTTTTTTAAAATAAAGTTAAAATCCATTTTCTTTTTAAACATTTTTTTTAAAAAACAGTATCAGAATAAATAAAAAGTTTCTAAATGTCAAAAAATATAATTTTAAAATATTTCTTTTTTTAAAGATGACTAAACCAATAATAGAAAATACTGTCGTTCACTGTTTAAAAAAATTACTAACATCAATCATTAGACAATTATAATTATTCTCATTAACAGAGCAAATATAAAGATAAAATTTTAAAAAACAATATTATAAATTACATATTTCTGAAATATATTTCTAAACAGCTAATGTTTTTAGTTTTGTCTAATTTCTCATACCAAATTTCAAAAATTAAATGGCAAAGAAAAATAAGACCCCTAATGGCGAGATTAATAAAAATTTAATTATTAATAAATTAATATTTAACTCATTAATAAGATAATTTTTTGTGACTGTTAGTGTAATCAATTATTGAAACTATTAAGATAAACTGATCATTAAAAATATGTGTATTATAAGTAGCGTTTTCATTTCTGAAAATAATAAAACTAATGGCTGGACACAATAATGTTGGACATTTTGGAAGGATTTAATATTTCAATCCAATAACCATCGGGATCTTTAATAAAAGCGATTCCCTTCATTTTGCCATCATTAGGTTTTTTCACAAATTCTACATTCAATTTTTCAAATCTCTCACACGCTTTATCTACATCTGGTACCGTTATGCCAATGTGTCCTAAAAGAAAATTAATTTGTTAAACATATTGCAATGAATACTAAAAAAAAGTTTATGGTTTTAAATTACTCACCAAATCCTCTAGGCTCTGTATTTCCATTATGATAATTAAAATCAGGATCCGATTCAGTACCCCAATTACTGTAACATACAGATAAGCGTACATTTTATTTTAGAGCCAACCAATTTAAAAAATTCAAAAAATATTAAAATATATTCTCACTGAGTCAACTCAATTGTTGCTTTTCGACTTAATGCCCACTCAATAGACTCCCTTCTGTCAGTGGGAATATCTTCTCCATTTTCATAGCCGAGAAAATAGAGGGAAAATTTCATATCAGGAAAATCGAGTTTTTGTAACAGCCTCAAGCCCAAAACTTGGGTATAAAACGGAAGTGATTTTTGAGGATCTTTTATGCGATACATAGTTTGTTGCATCATATAATCTTTCGTTTCAGAGTCTGGCTCCTTGCAAAGCTCTCGAGCCATTCTATCTGTCAAACCTGATGCTTCTCCCATCTGAAACATTCAATATTTATTTTTTAGTGCTAGTCTGAAGAATAACAATGCCAATGTTAACGTTTTAAAAATCAAAAAATTTTTTAAAAACGTAACTTTTTGGAAAGTTTTAGTTTTTAATTTAAAATTTTCTATCTCCTTGAGAAAGCAAAGTGATAATTAAATTTATGAGAAAAACAATGGTTAAAAACAAAACATTCTGTAGTACATAACTTGTCAGCAGTTTTTGAAACATGATTTTTTATGTTGTTTAAACAAATAAATTTTTTTATAACAAATTAATTATATTAATCTAGTGATAGATGAAAATAAAAATATATAAAAATAATTAAGAGACATATTATTTAAATAAAATTAAAATATAGAATTTTAATTATATGAGTGTCATGTGCTGGCAGTGATTAATAAACATTAACATAAAAAATATCTAACAATATTAGGTTATATTACAGTATTTTTGTAAATATTTAAATGGAAAAAATTTTTTACATCAAATTAAATAAATACAATAAAAAATACCTTGTAAGGAGGTTTTTTTTGGGTATAAAATTAATTCACTTTTTTCTAAGCAGAAGAAATTTTTTTTATAGACCGGGATTGAATAACGACACGGACACCTTAAACGGGAACGCAAACGCAGTATTAGTTGGAGAAGAATGGCTATATTATTTCTATCTTTCTGTTAGGGTGAAATCACAAGGAGGCAAAAGCGTAAAATGTTGTAACTAGACTATGAGTGCGAGAAGAACAAGTGTATATCTTTATTTCTTTTATACTCATGATCTAGCTAAATAATTTTACGCTTTTAAGATGAAAAAAAATTTAATAACTCGAAAATTGTACTTACTCGAAAGATTAATAACACTCACAGAAAAAAAATAAAAAAACAGCTGCGATTTAACCGATCGCAATAGAAATAAATACCTGAAAAATTTGCAATAGCAAATAAATAATAAGATTTTTAATTTAAATTCAATTTAAAATTCTAAGTATTCTCTATATTCTCAAATAATTCACATTTTGTATAATTTAATTTCAATTTTGATTTAAAAAAAGCGTTAAATAAATAAATCAAATTAATTAAAATGTTAACCAGTTTGAGAAGAGATAGTAGTAGGACATAATTTAATTTTTTGCAATAGTATAGTATAAGTATGGATTAATATATAAATATAGATTAATAGATTAAGAATATAATAAATTATACATTCCTGAAAAAAATGATTATTTTAATTCAAAAGAAATATTACTGCTCACCACGATGAATCAACTGAAAGTAATGATCATAATTAAACAAAATATTCACAAAACACTTATAAAACAATTACAAAACATTAAAATGTAAGACAACATAGTGACAAAAAAATAAAAAATTGAAATAAAGTAAATTTTCACTGGTACTCCAGCTACTTTTTTTTTACTTACATTTTTTTACCCGATTTCCCTACCTATAGCTATATTTAAAACGAAAAATAAATTTGCCTACTTTTCCCGATTTTCCTGCCTATAGCTATATTTAAAACGAAAAATTGTCTAAACTACTTTTTCCGAATTTTCTACCTACAATTATATTTGCAACGAAAATAATACCGCTCAGGTGCAAAATGACCTACACTAGGGTTAACGTCCCGTGACGCAACCGTCACCTGAGCGATCTTTTCTGTAAAGAAAACATTAATTAATTAGTTCATTACTAAGAAATTATCAAAAACTTTTAATTTGTAATTCCACATCCACTAACTTTAAACTTTTAAAAACTAAAAATATTATGCAAAATTGAAAAGTTGTGAATAAAATTAATTAAATTATTAAAAGTTAACAGAATTTTATAAATACAGTAAAAATTACTTTTTTTTAATAGAAAAGAAAATTATTTTGACTCAATATAAAAAATTGCAAAACATTAAAAATATTGAAATAAATAACATACATATATAAACAATGAAAAAAAAAACATTGACAAAAATATTATTTACGTAGTATTAAGATAGTAATCCATATAAATATGTAATATTTCAGGATGTGGGGAGAGTTACAAATATTTAAAGGGGCTGAATTTCCGAAAATATTACATACTTTAATTAGATTACTCCTAAAACTATTAGAAAATAATAAATGTTGTCAATGGTGTCACCATGTTGTCATAATTCCTTCCCTGTTTTTAAAAATTTTAATATTTTATATTTGGATCAATATGATACATCTACTTTTTTTAAAAAGTCAAAAGAATTCAAAAATTAAGAATATTTAAAAATATTAATGTTCAATTTTTGAATCTATTTTAATTGAATTGATAAAGAAATAACTGTTTTAAACAGGGAAGGGGTTAAATAAAAAAACGACTCACCGATCGGCGAATCCCACGTCGGGGCAGTAACGTACGTCATCGCCACTTCTCGAGCGCTTCAGGTCAACTCCCAAAGATCCCTCTATCTTGCTCGCACTTCTGCGAAAGGTTGGGAGCACAAAAAAAAATCTTATAAAAAAAATAATGAAAAAGAAAAAAAAATTTTATAAAAAAAAAATATATGCTGGGACCACTTTTCTTCTTCCACATCCTTCCTGTCCTTCAGGTTGTTTTTATTGGACATGGACTGAAAAACACTGAAACAATAAAAATTAATTAAAACTTAAATAACTGATTATTATTATTGTTATGGTAATAATGTGTAAAATTAACCAACTTACCTATTGCGAATTTTTTCGTCGTGTTAAAGATATGATGACACCATACTCTCTCTATCTCTTTCAATAGATGAAAGTATCTTCCCTGGAATAGACTGAAAACAAAAAAAACGTCATATGTAAAATAAAGGATTCCTAATTTGATTGTACAGTTAATTATTACAATTTATCCCAAAATTATTTATTTAAAATAATTAATAAAATCATCAATCAATTAATTTTGTTTCTTTTTATCACAATTAATATTTCTAAAAAGATTTTAAAGTATTGCAAACTATATTTAACTAGCATATTATTAAAAAAGAATATTTTTAATAATATCTATTATCATTATTTATAATTTTTAAAATTTTACTTTGTTCAAAATTAACCAATGAAAAGGAATACTTACAATTTGCGATTTTTCGCGACGTGTTAAAGGTACGATGACTGATAAATCTTCCTGCTACTGGACCAACTGCCTGAAAAAAATATTTCATTATATTATATGTGTAAAATAAAATTTAAAAAATCCTGAATATTGTCAATTATTAGAATAATCTAATAATTAATATTATACTTTTAAACAAGTCAATATTTATAAATGTTAACATTTGATATTATACTAATCGTTATTTACAAATACTAAAATAAATTTTAATTATACATATTGTTATTTCTAAACATTTAAACAAATTAATTTTGTTAATAACATTCATCAGTAAAATATTCATAAATTAAGAGAGAAAAAAAACAACATACATTGAACTGCGACTCAGCAATGCCAGATCTCCTCCAGGAGCAGCTCCGCAACAAACACCCATCCTTCACGTAATGGAACCTATAAATAAATAAAAAAAACTATTTTATACAAAAATTTAAAATAAAATTAATTACGAATATTTGTGTTATTAATGAAGAATAACTTTAATGTAATTGTTATCAAAAATTATGAAATTTATAAGTAATTAATAATTAATAAGTAAAATAATAATTTTCTGCATAAAGAGATGGAAATCGCAGATCTAAAAAATATGTAAAGAAAAAGCAGAATATATTCAGTTATATGACGATTTAGTAGAAATTGTCATTGTCATTTCATTTTTGAATAAAAATGTCATTCAGTTATTCTCGAAATTTAAATTTTGCAGACAAATAATAAACAAAAATTGTCTAAATGAAAATTCAGAAAATAGAGTTTTTAGAGAAAAAAATATGTTAACTGAATAAAATATACGAATTTTAATTTTTGTCTCTATAATACGGTGGACATGTATCTCAACCATCTCAACAGACGTTGAATTGACATGTGAAATTGGTTGGGTAGTAATTAAATTTCTGCCAACATAATTAGCAATTTTTTTAAATACTTTTTTTAATTGTAATAACCTTCATAAACCTGGTTTATTAATTTCAACTTTATTAATAAATTTTTTTTAATTTTATTTAATATTTATTCATATTATATATATTTAATGTTTTAAAAAATCAAGGAGCGCGAGAATAGCATGTGCAATGTTGCAATGTGAAGTCACAATATATGCAACAAGTAACAACAAACAACAAGTTGTAATATGCCAAAATTTTTAGGTTATATTTTTTGATGAAAAAGTTTTACCTAAATTTCCTATTTTTCTTCACAGCTACCACGAAACTTTTATGCATTTCTGATTATTCATATAAAATAGTGTATAATTATCAAAAATTATTTATAATAATCGTTGATTAAAAAAATACTGAGATTCAATTTTGTCGTACACAAAATGGATGATCAACTATCTACGACGCCATTTGCAATGAGCTGTAATGCCAACCCAAGATAAACTAAACTTTTTCACTTCTACCAACATGAAATTTTTTTTTATAAAAGCTTGATTTTTTTTATTCATTTGCTTTTTTCAATTTTCATATTGAGTATTGATAAAATAAAATTTTTATATCGTTACGATTTGGATTGTGCACTTACTTGTGTTTCTTTTGTTTAACATTGCCGATTGCGATGTTAAACTTTGTAGGTTAGGTTTCCGTGACATAAAAATTTTGTCGAAATATACTAATTTTTTTTTGCCTGTCACAAAATTTTTATGAATTTTTGATAATTTAGACAAATCAGAATTTAATTACAATGAAATATGTATAATTAACGGTTACGATTAAAAAAGTATTATAAAATTAAATTTAGTTGCACGGTTGCACAAAATACGGACCTCCTATACTTTCTGGCGACGCCATTTGCAATGAAGCAGCAATGCCAACCCAAGATAACAAAAACTGAACTTTTTCATTTCTGCCAATATAACAAAAATTCTCTTTCGAGAAAAGTTTGATCTTGAGAGTGAAATAAACAAAAACAAAGGGATTTATATTTCTTAAAAATACTTTATATTTTTATTTTTCATTAGTTAATAATCACTTTTTTTGAAAGTAATATTTGTAATAATCTATTTGTTTAGATATAAAAGTTATTTTTTTAAATAAAATACAAAACTGTCAGAATAACCTCAAATATGACGAATGAACCTAGTGAACAACACATTGTACAAGGAAAATTTGTTTCGGAAAAGATCTCTAAAATTAGGTGGCAAAATGAGCCTTTTGCCGAAACAAAAACATTTTTAACCGGCAGCTGGGATAATCCAGTAAGTTAAAAAAAAATTGTTTTCAATATACACTTTGCAGTTATTATTTTAAAGTAGTCTCATCAAAGTTTTGAAATATTCAAATAAAATTGTTTTTATAATTTATTATTTTGCAGATAAATAAAATAACACTGTGGACCTTACAAACAAATGAAGACGAGGAATCAGATCCAGTTGTTGTAACTTCTGATCCGTGCTATGGAGATGTCACAGAAATTAAGGTAAATATTGAATAAATATTCAAGTAAATAAAATATCTTTTTGATCACAACATTCAAATTGTAATTCTTATCAATTTAATTATTTTCACAGTTTATAAATAAAGACTTTTTCGTCGTATCATCGTCTGATGGAACAGTGAAAGTACTTCAAATTCTGGAAAATCCATACTCTAAATTTAAGGAACATATTACGTGGAAAAATTTACATTATTATTCGTAAGTTTTTTTTTACTATTTCATTTAATTTAAACAAAAAACCAAGGTCTTAAATATTTTTAAAAATAATCTAAATAAAAAATACATTTATTTTCATTTGAAATTGTAAAATAGAAATTAATTTTTTAGGACTGGTGAAAATGCTTGCTGTACTGGTTTTTCTACTTTTGAGCAAGATATAGTTTCAGTAGGAGAAGACGGTAGGATAAATTTACTTACAGCTCATCAAAAAGAAATTGTGAGATCAATTGGTAAGTTTAAAAGAAATAATTTTCATTTCTGTAACAATGAACAATAAAATAAACTATTTTTTTTTTTAATACAGATACCGCAGAAAGTTGTTCCATATGCTGTATTGATTTTTTGAAACACAACGAAATTCTAACAGGAAATATTCGTGGTCATATGAAAATTTGGGATCTTAGAAATTATCAAGACAGACCTGTTCCATTTATGCTTTCCGATCAAGTTACGGTACGATTTTAATTAAGAAATTAGCGATTAGTTATTTATTATTTAAGAATTTTTATAAAGTAAATTTATTTTCAGACTGAAGTAACAAGTGTCGCTCATCATCCAACTCAAAGACACATTGTCGTCGCTGGTGGAGGTGATGGAAGTTTAACTGTTTGGGATCTTCGTCGAAACACATATCCAGTTTCGCAATTAAACGCCCACGCAAAATCTGTTACTGAAATTTTATTCCATCCAGATCGACCAGATAATTTATTTACTTCTTCTACAAGTGGAGAACTTTGGCACTGGAATAATGCTAGTCAATCCAAAAGCAAATTTGGTAAATAAATTTTAAATATATTTTTATTATTTGTAATATTTGTAAATTTTAATTATTTTATTTAATTTTGTTCTGCAGATAATGGAGACGCACATTGGTTAAATTCTTTCGGTGGTAAAGGAAAAGTGACAGTTTGTGCGAGTGTTCATAAGCCTATAAACAGCATTGACATTAATAAATCAACTTTACTGTTAGGTTGCGACAATGAAGCTATTTATACCATAAAAAATGTAAATTTGTAAACTAGCAATTTTCCCATATGAAAACGAATTTGATGAAGTTTTTTTTTGTAATTTACTCATTTTGAGACAATAAATTATATTTGTACATTTTCATAATAATAGTTTTCCTTTTCAAAAATTTTTAATAACTTTTTTCGATTTCTAAATTGAAATTATTTTTAAATCCACTTTTAAAAGGCGATTAAAACAATCACGTGTTTTGTAATTAGTTTATTGGAATGAATTAAGACAATACAATAAAACATCATTCACAATGTTCAAGATATTTGTTCAAATTACATTTTTGTTTTTTTTTTTTATTAATTATCAATATCCCTTATAAATATATACAAAATTGAAATTCTATCCCAAAACTTTTTTCGAAGTTATAATTATTTAAATCAGGTTTCAACAATATTTTCATAATTTCAGATTAAAGTGCTTTTCTCTCTTTTATTTCATTCATTAATAATTTCAAAAGAAATACAGTTAATTGGTAATTTTTGTCCAATGACGATCGATTGCAATATTTGAAGCTTATTGAATTATTTTTTTTTATATAAACAAATAAAGCAGTACAGAAAAACTACATGTTTATTAGTCACAAAACGCCTTAAAAGAGTAATACACCTTTTAAATCAATATTCTTGACATGTCAGTAACTATTTAACGCGCAGTACAAAATGATCCTATTACATCTATAAGTCCTAATTTGAATTTCAACTACTAATTAAGGCATTCTAACTTAGACCATAAAAAAAGATTATTATTCACTTCTCACTTTTCTTTTATACTCAATTTTTCTTCACTTAGTATTAAAAAAAAAAACATTCATAAATAAAGTACAAATAGAATGTTCAACTGCAAAATAATAGCAATGCATCTTTTCTATTTTTAGTGAGAGTTACTTGAATAATCCTCAATTAGAAATTTAATTAATGATATAAACTAATTTTAAATTACTATTCACGACATTCAGCATCTGATGAACTGTATTTTTTCTCCACATATTTAAATGAAGTTTATTTTAAAAAAAAGGATGATGGCTTTTTTTATCATTTTTCTTTCTTTCATTCTGTTTTTCTTTTTTTACAAACAATGAGTCACTAATAAAAGTGTGCTGAACTATTATAATTATTTTTCTTTTTTTTTTTTTTTTTTTTTTGAAATAATGTTAAGTATTTAGAAAGTACTTAAACCAATTTTCAAAAGACTTTTGTACTGATCTAGCAATTGTAAGGGTTAGAAGCCTTCTTGAAATTGTTTCGATTCAATTCTACTTTGAATTACTTCCAATTGTCTCTTAGCTTCGCATTGAGGGAAATTTTGTAAATCATAATACTGTGGTGCAATCTTCAACAGCCAATCAGCTGAAAATTAAAAAATAAAGAATTTAATTATTTTTCTGAAAGTAAATTTTATGTATTTTTAAATATATTCTGAAATAAATAATAAATGCTTACGTTTAATGTCAGTGACTGTTCGGATGTAATTTTTCGTGGTTAAGACAAATTCATTATAAATAACCCATTCTGGTTTATGGTCCAGACAACTGCTTGGATGAAGTTGTACTACTTGATTATCTTTTATTGTAAGATAGTGTCCAGTTCTCTCTAAATGTGCCACCTGTTAAAAAAAAGTTACATTACTATTGTTAAAAATATAATTTAATTATACATTTTTATTTATTCGATTAATTCATAATTAAATCGTAAGTTTATCAAATTAAATTTAAAGAAATAAAGATTAAAAATATGAATTTCGACATACCTGCATGAAGAAACCATTTACCAATGCTTTCCTGATATTAATGTAATAATCTTTGGAGGTAAAATCAGTAGATGTTCGTTTCAATTGAAATCTGTCCATAATTCTGCTTAATTGTTGTCTCACATTATCACCACTTTTTAATGATCGATAATTCACGAAATTATCGTAACACCATTGTGGATCTTCCATGTCTAAAAAAGAAAATTTTAATAAAATTTTTTTTATCAATTTTAATATTTATTAAAATAAAATAACAAAATACCTCAAAAATTATTAGAAAATTTAATTATAGAAAGTAACTTACTTTGTTTGAAAGCATGGTAAACATTCAAAAGTGTAAGATGATCGCCGTCAATGTGTGCAAATCGCATCTTTGCTTCGTCGGCCAGTTTCTTCGCCTCATTTGGTCTCACAAAGCACTGTGGGACTAATAGCATATCAATCATCAATACATCACCAAGTTACCTTACACTTGAAGTTACTTAATAAAACTAAGAAATTTTTTTAATAATTAAAAATAATTGCTTTCATTGAATGAAATTTACCGAAAAAACCATCGATTATTGTAATTATTAATTAATACTTTTAATGATTATTATAATTCATATTAATTTTAAGCAATTTTCAATTCATATTTTAATTGTTAATTTAATTTCTCATAATTTTTAAAAATTGTATTATTAAATAATTGATATATTAATTTTTGAAATTAACATTTTGATTAAATATAAAAAGAGACTTTTCCGTTATTAAATAAAATGGTTCATATTATATTAATCACAATATTAAAACAAAGCTTACCTGACAGCATGGCAGTTATGCTGAGAATTTCATTACTACAGTTGTGATTACAAGAAGCGATTAACATTTTTGCAAGTTGTGGATCCAATGGGAATTCGGCCATTACAGCTCCTAAATCTGTTAAATTTCCATCGTCGTCAAGTGCTGCAAGATAATTCAATAATTCTAAGGCTCTCATTAATGTTTCCGGTGCCGGAGGATCCATGAAATCAAAATGTACCTAAAAATTAATTAATAGTCAATTAAATTATCAATTTAATTATTATAAATTATATTAATAACTGCGTCACTTACTAAATCATCAATTCCGAGTTTCTTTAATTGCAACACGACGCTACCAAGATTCGAGCGAAGAATTTCAGGATAAGTATTGTCTTGCATTTCATTTTTATACGCTTTCTCAGTGTAAAGTCGGAAACATTTTCCAGGCCGTGTTCTTCCGGCACGTCCAGCTCTTTGTTGAGCCGAGGCTTTACTTATCGGTGAAACCAACAACGATTCAACTCTTATTCTAGGATTGTATACCTTTTGTTTCGCGAAACCAGGATCAATGACAAAAACAACACCGTCAATAGTCAAAGAGGTTTCTGCAATATTTGTTGATACAACAACTTTACGACCAATTGCACCATTTGGTTTTGTCGGTGGGGCAGGTTCGAAAATTCTCTGTTGTAAATTCGGTGGTAAGGTTGAATATAGTGGTATACATTTAAGTTCACCAACTTCCGGTCCCAAATTATCCATTTCCCTTTTAATTCTCTTGCAAGCCTCTTCAATTTCCTCTTGACCAGTTAAAAATAAAAGCAAATCACCCGCCACTTCTTCGCACATGTGAATTTGAATGACAGTTCTAATAGCCGCTTCCAAATAATCTCTCTCTGGTTCAGGTGTGTAAAAAATTTCCACCGGATGAGTTCGACCCGGAACATTCATTAATGGTGCATTATCGAAATATTGTTGAAATTTACCAGCGTCTAATGTTGCGCTCATAATAACTAATTTAAGATCTTTTCTTTGCTTGATAACTTCTTTTAAAACACCCATCAATAAATCTGTCGCTAATGTTCTTTCATGAGCTTCGTCAAGTAAAATCACTTGATAAGCATCCAACATTGGATCAGACATACCCTCACGTAAAAGCATACCGTCTGTCATGTATTTTAAAATTGTTTTTGCCGAACTGCAATCCTCGAAACGAATACTGTAACCAACTTCCTGTCCCAGGGCAACGTCCATTTCTTCGGAAACACGCTGCGCTACACTCATTGCAGCGACTCGACGAGGTTGAGTACATGCGACACCTTTGCTTCCTATACTTTTGGAATATTCCACGCACCATTGTGGAATTTGTGTTGTTTTCCCCGAGCCAGTTTCGCCAACTAAGACAATACATTGATCTTGTGCCAAAAGTCGCATAAAATCCGTTCGATATTCAAATACAGGCAATGTAATTCGTTTTTTATAGAATTCATGATAACGTGGTGTGTAGGGCAATCCAGTGTAGGGATTAAGTTGTATTTGAGATTTTGAAGGCGTTGCAATTGCAGGTGAAGTACTTGCAAAGGATCCATCACTGAAACAAATATGAAAATAAGTGAAAATTCAAAAAACAATGTAAATTTTTTATTTATAGCTTGGAAAAAACTAAATTTCCATATCATTAATTATATTAATTAATGTAAACTTGCAATTTTTTTTTTTTTTTAATAATTTCACTTAAACATCCATTATTATTGAAATACTCATAAAATAGAATTACTAATTTTTAAATATATTTTTTTTTACACAAATTCAAATTCTTTTTGCATAGACACACACAATGTAAAAAAACCGCGTGGTCTTTTTTAAGGTTATGTTTGTCAAATCGTATTTAGAACATTTAGAAAATTTAACGTTTTGCTTCGTAAAATTATAATTTTTACAATAGTAATAAATAAAGGATTAGAAAAAATATATTATTCTGTACAAATTATACTAAAATTAATATCAATTATTATTAGTAAAGAAAAATAACAAATCTGTTAACGGATTAAAATTCTAAAAAATCATTTTCAGGTTAATTTACATGGAATCTATAATAATAAACTAGAGTAAAAAATACGTACAGTCAATTAATAATAAATTATCATATAAACAATAGAAGAAAATTAGAAAATGATAAATCCTTTAATCTACATATAGGACGAAATATATACGGTATACCCTCTTTAAGGTCACAAAGAACAGAATTATTGTTTTTATGCTAAATTTGACACAAAAGAAAATTTAGTAATAGAATAACTATTTGTTAGTTGTTTGTCTCTAAAAACAAATTAAATACTTACGGTTTTCGCTTGACGTATGGATCAACAACTTCAATTCTTCGTTTAGGAAGTTTCGACATTGCTGAGGTACAGCTTTAATTAATTATAAAATCCTAATTTTTGTTTACAAAAACTTATCTCAGCGTCGTCACAAAATAAATGAAGCAGTCACAATCAGAAATGTAGGAAATAATTGAACACGATGAACGACAATGTAATTATTTTTTTCTTTTTTTTTTAATACACAAACGAAAGAGAGAGAAAGAAAGCTCTATCCTTTGAACTAAAGATTCTTTCACATTTCACTTTGTTGCTAAACATGGACGAAAAACAGACCTCCTATTTGTTTGTAAAAAAATTGAAAATTAACACTATCAACACTAATGTATAGAAAGTAATAATTTGTTTATGATGAAAATTATTTTTATTATAAAATAAAAAAGTAGAGAAAGTTTCTTTGCGTCAACAACAACAATTGTTATTGATTTTTTACAATCGATTATTATTTTCGATATATCGACAGTGCGATAATCGATTAAGTTCATGGTGTGAACGATAGAGGCGCTGTTATCGACATTCGTCAGGTGGACTTCGACAATGCCGGTGATAGTGAAGAAGAATAAGTGTTAATTAGTGTTATAATTGCAAATAGATAATTAATTTATGAGTGGGTGTACAATTTAGAGGTCAGTAATGGTTTCCTAGTTAGAAATTAGAATTTAAAATTAAAATCTGTAGTATAATGTAATCTTGAAGTTTTTTCTCTTTTCTTTAACAAGGGGAAAGACAAATAACATGGCTACCACTTTCCCCCCAATTTCCAATTGTTGATCGTGTTTGTAAACAAAGTGATAGAATATTTTTTCTTTAGTTTTCACAATGATAAAGTTACATTTATAAGTTCATATAATTCCGAAAGTAGATGAAACCTAACTAGGGAACATTTTCTATTTGCATTTACTTGCAATTTTGGCGCAATTACTTGGCGCCAATTTTCTCCTGCATTGTCGAAAGTACTCAAAGTTTCATTTTTTGTATCTTTTAAAATCAGTTATTTAGAATATTGTCGATCAAAAATCATAGCTTTCATTTAAAAAGAATTTTCTTTAAGTAGTTTTTCAACTGTAAAAAAAGTGTTTGTGTTTCTTTACAGAAGAGGATAATTGCAGAGCAGAAGTTCCAGAAAAAAATTGTACATCAAAGAGCAGTAATGTAAGTTAATTATTATTCTTAAAATTTACTTTTAAGTTAAAATATAATTTTATTTGTAATGCTTAAAGAAGTATATACATGTACAAAAAAGAGGATGTAGGGCATTGTAATTTTTAGGTTAAAATAATTTTCAGATTAATGTAACAATGAAAATTATTTTTTAAACAATTTTTTTAATTAAATTTTTTTTATTAATTAATTTTTTTGCCGTGGCGCAAAATTATTGCGACACTGGCGGGCATTTTCGAAAGCTGCGTTGGCTTCAAAACACAAGTCAACTTTATTACACGTAGTTGTACTATACAATCGTTTAGTGGTTTTTAGTGTTGTGGATCGTCCCAAATAAGTAATAATAAAAATGGTGTAAAACGTAAAATTCCTGGTAACGTTTGGTAAACTTTGCAAACTTCGTACTGAAAAAATTCGACACGTAGCCCGTAAACGGAAAGAAAATCACACATTGCAATGAAGGAGTATAATAATTTTCAAGGCCATTTACTTTAATAAAACGTTGAAATAATTGAGAAGAAAACAGTGTGTTCTGTGTTTGAGTTCTCTTAAGTTGTATTTTTTTAATCTCAGTGTCAATTTGTTTCGTGACAAGTGCTTTGCGGTATCAGACGGACGCAATTTGACGCCATGATGGTAGGTGGAACCTGTTATCATTATTTGACAGCCGGTTATTTTTTTGCTTATTATTAATTAAAAAATTTTAATCTGTAGAGAACAATCAAGTAATTTTTAGTTTAAATTGTTTAATATTAAAATTATTAAAAATGTTACAGGAAGGTATATGTGAAACTAATGATATCCTAAACAATGGACCTACAAAAAAGGTAATTAATATTATTTTTCTGAGTACTTAAATGTTATCAGATAACTCTTTTTACATGTAAAATTAGTTGATAGTATATTTTAGAATAAGTTATGATAAAATTTATACATGTCATGTATATTTTGTGCTAGATAAAAAATATATAAAGGATGTAAATTTGAAAAAAAATGAAACACTGTTTCTAGATTTATAATTAATTAATTTTTTTGTTTTTTGTAGGCGAATACATCAGACCCAATTGATTTATCTGATAAGTCATTGCAAGTGGATATATCAGATGCCCTTAGCGAGAAGGATAAAGTTAAATTTACAGTGCATACAAAAACAACATTACCCGAATTTCAAAAGGAAGAATTTTTAGTTGTTAGACAACATGAAGAATTCGTCTGGCTTCATGATCGATTTGAGGAAAACGAGGAATATGCAGGATACATTGTAAATAATTAAAACATTTATTTATTTTAGTGAATTCATTTTTAATTTTTTGCTTTATAAGGTATTTTATTAAATACCTAGGTAATAATATAATTTTTTATCATTGAAGATTCCTCCATGTCCGCCTAGACCGGATTTTGACGCTTCTCGTGAAAAATTACAAAAACTCGGTGAGGGCGAAGGAAGTATGACAAAAGAAGAATTCTCTAAAATGAAACAAGAATTAGAGGCGTAAGTTATTTATTTATTTTTTTTGACACAAATTTATATGCTTTTTTCTAAAAATTGTATTTTTGTATAATATTCAAAATTATTTAGAGAATATTTAGCGACATTCAAGAAAACAGTAGCGATGCACGAAATGTTTTTAACAAGACTGGCACATCATCCCGTTTTCCGAAACAATAACAATTTAAGAGTATTTTTAGAATATGATCAAGATCTTTGCGTCAGAGGTGAAAATTTTTGAGAAATTTTTTAAAATTCATTTTTCACAAAACTTTGTTAAATTAATGCTATTTTAATTAATTTATTTTAGTAATTTAATTTTTTCATAAATTAAACTAATAATAGTAGACTTATATAGTTTTTAAATTAAATAATTTAATTATTAATTTAATAATTTGTGTAATTATTAAAAAAAATTAAATTACTAAAACAAAAAAATACTAATTTAACAATGTTGTGAGAAAATAATAATAAAAAAATTTTAATGTTAAATTCTATTTTTCAGGTAAAAATAAAATGGAAATGTTTGGTGGATTAGTAAAATCATTATCGAAAACAACAGATGAATATTATTTGTCTGCAACTGTAAAAGATGTTAATGATTTTTTCGATCAGGAAATGACATTTCTTCATCAATATAATAATAATTTGAAAGAAGCAACGAGTCGTGCTGATCGACAAACAATGAAGCACAAAGATGTTGCCGATTCTTACATAAAAATTTCGACAAATCTTCTTCAATTGGCCACGTCAGATTCGGGAAAACTTGAAAGGTTTTTAACGAAAGTTGCAGAAACTTTTGAAAAAATAAGGGTAAGAATTAATTCTAATTGAGACAATTTTTATTTGAAATTTAATTAATTTGATCTCATTAATAAAAAATTAAATACTTATTTTTATTTGTTTTTCTTTTGTTAGAAAGTCGATGGTCGTGTTGCTTCCGATGAAGATTTGAAATTGTCTGATACTTTACGTTACTATATGAGAGATTCAGCTGCTGCGAAAAGATTATTATTTAGACGATTGAAAGCGTTACATGCCTACGAAACGGCAAATAGGGCTTTGGATAAAGCTCGTGCTAAAAATAAAGACGTCCATGCCGTAAGTTTAACATATTAATTAATTGTTGCTAAATCATTAAATTTACATACATAATTTACATATAGAAATATTTTAATATATTTCTTTTAAAGTAATTATTTAAAATCAAACATTCATGCAATTAATAGAAAGTTTACCAATTATTATTTTTTTTTTTTGGACAACAAAAATTTAATACAATAAAAAATGAAAATAAAAAAGCACTAAAATTCACGCAGATTGTGTATATAATTTACTAATTGCATGTACGTTACACAATCTTCTAATGGGTGCTTAAATTCTTTTTTGCTCCTCAAGGCACTGGAGGTCGCAGAGGTGTGTGTTCATTTCACTTATGCGTAATGTCTATATTGTAAATTGAATTTAAAAAATTTCTTTCCTTAATGTCTAGCAGGAAACATATTTTGCGAATGTTGGTGTTGGATATATAAATGCATGATCTGTTTAACAAAATATTAAAATATCTTATTTCTTTTTATTAAAAATATCTGCTTTATTAAATTAAACTATTGTCTGAATGTCTTTAACTTCGTATTTAGTTATTAAAACCATTATATTATTGTCACGTGAAAATTTAATACATGTTTGTCGAATTTACTAATTTCAGTTTCATTTCTTTTTTCTAAATAGGCTGAAACAACACAAACTGAAGCTTGTGAAAAGTTTGAACAAATGTCAGAAAAAGGAAAAGAAGGTATGTTAAAACAATTGCAAAAAATTTTCAACAATTTAATATATCTTTATTTTTTTTTGTAGAATTAACGGATTTTAAAACTAGAAGAGTTGCTGCCTTTAAAAAAAGTCTCATCGAATTAACAGAATTAGAAATCAAACACGCGAAGGTAATTTAAAATTAATTTTTCTTATTTAAAATTTTTTAAATAAAATTTTTAATTGATATATTTTTACAGGCACATGCTGAATTGCTCAAAAAGTGTCTCTCTAATCTTAAGGAAGAATGATTTCAACGATCATTATTGCCACATTATATAAAACGCGCAGAGCGTATTTTTTAAATGAAAAAAAAAAATGCGATGTATTTAACGTATATTAAAAAAAAATTCCTTTTTTTGTATATTATTATATTATATTATAATATATTATATTATATGATATATATTTTTTGTTATTAATAAGCAATAGCCTTTTAATGAGAAAAAATATTGATAAAAACATTTATATAGAATATCGAAAAATTTCGCAAGATTATTATATAAATGAGAAATATGTCTCTTTATTAATTTTTCGATAACCTTCTATTGAAATGAATGTTTAATGAGCTGCTGAATCTGATTGAAAGTTAATCTTTGACTGCAAAGAGGTTAATAGATATATTTACTCGAATTATATAATATGAATATTTTTCATGATTTTTCGAATTGTAATATTATTATATAGTTATATAAATATGTATAATTAAACTTCTTGTATAAATGATAATATTTTCATTAATAGTTATTTCTTACCTCTTTGCAGTCTATTATGTTAAATTTATAAGAATATTTTTTCTTTATAATTATATGTGTAAAATAAGGTAAAAAATTTTTTTTTTATGAATAAATGAATGTTGAGAAAGTGTAATATTGAATTTTTTTTTTTTTCCTCAACATTTAGAAATATGAATTTTATGATTGGAAAATATTTTACAATAAGCAGTTCTGTTATTAGAATAACTTTATGCTCTAATTATTTTTAATTCATCTATAGAAATGATAAATAAGTCAAAAAAAAAGTTTTATTTCATAGATTTTTATTGAATTGAATCATTGTGTCTATAATACATGATCGTAGACATATACTGAGAAATTTTTAAGTCGCAAATACCGCTTTTAATTCTTTTAGAATTAATTCAAGATTCCATAATGTTTTATATATACATATAATATGTATATATATTTAAATATATACTCTTTTTCATTGTTTTTTTTTTTTTAATCTTAACAGATCCTACGTATAGTCTATATGGACCGTATATGCAAAAGACTGAAAGTTCGATTAGTCTAGTGCATATATATTTCATTAAAATATCTTAATTAGATCAATAATTACATCGTAGTTTTTTTTTCTTCTTTTTAATCATAATAGTAATAAAACGTCAAGTATATTATACGCAATAGAAAATTTCTCGTAAAAATGATACGATTTGGTTCTTGGTAAAAAAAAAAGAAAATGAAAGTGAGTTCATGATTTCGCGCTTGCGTGACATACTTTGATCTTTGCTTGCATATATATGAGTTAATGAAATTCATTTATTAAAATTGTTTAATAATGTACAAAGTACTTTTTTACTCTCTACATCTGAATTAGTTGAAATTTTGCATAATTTAAATTTCTTCCGGTTCCTTCATTTTATTGGATTTAATTGAATTAGTAATTGACTTTTTTTTGCTGTAATAAATTCTCATAAGATTTGATTGGTTCATAAAATTTATATGTTATAATTGTTTAATAAAAATTTAATAATCCTTTGTTAATTAATTCATTAATAATTTGTAAAAAATTTTTTATGGATAATTTTTAATAATTTATCGTATTAATTTTTTTTTTTGAGTGAAAGTAAATCCGTAACTGATTCAATTTTGAAATATAATGAGAAATGGATTTTTTAATTATGCAAAATTTTTCTCGAATTGAAGATATAGTGAGTTTGTCAGTTGAAAATGTATGTTAATTATAAAATTATAATCTCTTCTCGGGCATATTTTAATTTACAAGCTCTCGTTTTATAAGTAAATTTTATGAAGTGATTGAAATATAGGAACTGACTTTTCACTTATAAATGCAAACAAATTCAAAGTTTACAGTAATTTCTTTCTATTTGAAATTGACTTCACGCATTTTAGATATTGATTAATTTTATTCTAATTAATTACGAACGACTTTTCCTCGTAAGTCATAAAATTCATTACGTACAGTTTATTTAATCACTCGATAAATCAATTCTCGAAGTCCTCAAGCACTCAGGTTTCAAATGAATATTTAAAAAGTTTTCAATATATTTTAATTTGTTTTTAACTTTGTGTCTGTGTAATATTTCAGTGATATCTTTATAAATAAAATTCGTTAAACTTTTATAAATACAAAAGATTCTGAATTTTATGAGTTTTTCTCGAATATTTCTCTTTTCTTTTAAATTACATATTTATTCAATAAGAAAAGGGGAAAAAAAGTTTAAAAATAGAAAACAAAAGAAGAAAAATGCAAAGAAACTTGAGAATTTGAGGAATTTCATTTTGCATTTGTGTATAGATTTTTCTTAATTTAAAAAATTTTACATAAATGAAATATTATTTTCTTGGATTGACTGGCAAGGAACACCATACAGACGTTCTAAACAGGACTGATCACACTCTTTCAAACTGGTGTTATTTACAACAATAATAATTAATCGATCATTAAACGATGCTTTTTTTATAATAATGAGAGACGTAAAATTTTGTGATTATTCTAATTCTTAGAAAAAATTTTTTTTTTCTTAGCCATCTTTTTTAAAATGCTTATCGATCGTGCATTATTAAATTTCTATAAAAACGAGATTTCAATTTCAGATTACTCGCATTCACTTTTTTAATAACATAAAAATTCTTAATGGACTTAAAAGTTTGATAGAAATAATGGAATATCACATAAAATATTCTTTTTCAAGATTTTATTTTATGTATTTATAAAATTTCGAATCCTATAATTTTAGAAGTGATTTTACAAATTTATTTCTTTAAATTTACATTCGTGTCATATTTGAGAGAATTAAATTTAGGAATGTTATTTTATTTATAAATATAATTTGATTGGATATATATGATAAATTAGAGGATGATTAAATCAGTGCACAGAGTTGTTAATAATTTAAACAAGATGCAAAAAGTTGAATTACAAATATGAGAATAAATATGCATTGAATTTTATTTCAATCTAATTTTCATGTTTTAATATAAGATATCTTTGATAACTTTTCCTTTAAATAGAATGATATTTTATTTAAAAGATAAACTGATATTAAAATTTTTGTTCAATTTACGAATCGTATGATTCTTTAATAATTTAATATTCTCAATATAAAAGTGAACTTAGTATTTTGTAAATTAAAAACAATTAAAGTAAAATTCGTGAAATTCATACAAAATTTTCCAATTAATGAACATATTTCTGATTATTGTCCAATAATGATTCTGTGACTAAAAATAAGTTATATATATGAAAATTTTAGATTTACCCTGATTATTATTCTTTCGATTATCTTCGAAGTGTGCCATAATTTTAGGTTTATGCATAGGTAGCTAAAAGTTAGTCATTTACATAAGATTATGTAAAATAGCAGTATCGAAGTCATCTCTTAGGGCAAAAAAAGGGGGGAAATTTTTTAAATGAGATAATACACATAACGTATAATGAGCAGAAATTATCATTACACTGAGTGTCAAAATTTTTATCAAAAAGGAAAATTTTTTCTTTTCGTACAATATCACATTTGCTTCAATTTAATAATTTAATAATTAAAAAACATTAAATATTTATATTCAATTGTAAAAGTCTTTAATATTTTTATTAATTTAAACATTTTTAATTAATATGTAACTCATTAATATTTCGATTTAATTATTTAATTTTTGGGACAAACAATAATTTTTATTTATATGTAAAATTCTTAAAAATATTTTCAAGCTTTTTAAAAGCAAATAAAAATTTTATTTACAATTAGTATGAATTTTACAAGATTGAATTTTTATTTGTCCCTTATGGTAAAGTAAAATATATAGTAATTTAAAACTAATATCAACATAGATGATTGTCATAGATGATAATTTACTTAAAATAATTTTTTCATTAAAAATCAATCTCAATTGTTAAAAATTAGATTTTTTTTTTAAAATTTTATATTAAGTTGCATTGATTATTGATGTTTAATTTCTCATAATAATAATATTCAAATTTTCCTTGTAATTTATAAAAATGTTTAAAATTTCATTTACTTGAATTTCGATTTGGATAATATATTTTTGGAAAGTAGTTGATTTTTATTTTTAAACACAATCGATATGCATTTAGTGGCTCGCTATTCGTATATGACATTAAATTATTTCTATGTTTAGTACAATATTTGGGTCTTCGGAGTTTCCGCAGTGCAATTTGTAATATTCAAATATTTATAGAATAATTCAATTTTTAATTGTTACAATTATAAATTATTAATTATAAAAATAATTATTATTATATATAAAAAAATAATTAATTGAATTAAATGCTGGATTAATTGTTTATTGTCAAATAAGTATTTATTTGGTTTCAATAAATATTTTTTTGAATAAATATTTATTTAATTAAAAAGAAGAAAATTAATTTATTTAATTTCAATTAAACAATAATCACACAAATATAATTTTTAACAGTTAATTAATCCAGCAGCTTAATTTTTTCAGTTTATTTACAGCTTAAAGTGAAATTTTATTTCATTTTCATTTTTGAATAAAATTTTTTAGTACTAAAAAGGTTTATAATTGAATTTAAAAAGAATGGGGGAAAAAAATTAATCGGCATAGAAAAGAGCATTAAAGACAGCACTCTTGATAAGTTATATTAGTTTCACGTAGAATAAAACCGCGGAAGAGATGATACGGATTTATATAATGAGAATAGTGGTTCTCTCTTTCTCTCCGAAGACTCAAACGATTGAACTGGGTCTCGAACGATTTCGATCAGGAAATATAACGTAGATAAAATGATAACTGAGGATATAGCATATTGAGACTGACATGAGTCCACATACATGAGACGTTGCTACACTTTTCGTTTCCGTAAATCGGGTCTAATTTCAAGAAAGAGAGAGAGAGAGAGAGAGAGAGAGAGAGAAGGCGCTTTCTCTCTCTCATATCCGTGTCATTATATCCGGCGAAGGATACATTCGAGTGAGCTCTGGCTTTACGCGAAATGCAAAATCAATATTTCATTTCTGTCCTCAGGAAATTGCTTGCTTGATGTATAACAATTATTATATTGTTAAAATGAAACTTTTGTGATTCTAAATTTATTTCACTTTTGGGATCAGTCATTTTTCACAAGGACACATTTTTTTCAATTCTTGTTTATTATTTTTAAAGTAGGTTGAAAATTCACTTTTCTTTTACATTTTATGCGATACTTTTCTTTCTTCTGTTTTTTAATGTAATTTGAATTTAATTGTATGTATAATGATTATTATTTACAAAAATTGATTTAGTTTTTTTATAAAAAAAAATTATCGCTTTTCTTTTTTTATTTTGCAAATGTAGCAGAAATGTCTCGATATAAAATGGGAATTTGTTTTTTGGTCAGGTATTCGGCAACGAATCGTGAAATTTATATATTTGAACTCATATAATATTGCATGGAAAAGATTTCTCTTTTTCTTTTTTTTTAATGCATTTTTTGAGATAGTTTGTCGTTTCTTCTTCCTGCGACTTTTGATGATTTAGTATTAAAACGAAAGAAAGGTTGCCAAAACAAAAAGCATAAGTTTTATTTTCCCATTCATTTTTTTTTCACTACTGCAAAAAATTTATTTGATTCAAATAATTTGACTATTATCAAATATTTATTTATATTAAAAATAATTAATTAAATTGTATATGTTTCAAATAGAGAAATTATTAGTTCAAATACAGTTTATTTAATTCAATTATTTGGTTTAAGTAAATATTTATTTGATAATAAAGTAACCGATTATTCGAATCAAATTTTTTTTTCGCACGTATTTGATAATTTAATGATGTTACTTTGCTTCATTTGGAAAACTAAAATTTGAAATTATTTCAAAATTATGGAAAAATAATTGTAAACTCGAAAAGGATTAAATTTACAAACGGATAGATTTTGTTATTTGAATTACTTATTTTTATTTATCATTAAGCCAAATCTCATCTCGATAGGCATCCATCGTCCACCAAATATTTACGATTAACAATATTTACACAATTTAGGTGATGAATAATGACTCCAGATATTCATTTTCTTTTTTTTGATAATATCTTTTTGTTTTTTTTTTTAATTTTTGCAAAATTCTCAGACCAATTGCTATTAACCTCGATGTGAAAAAAACCGATAGTATAGTTGTGAAATGTTTCTATCTATCACATAAAATAAATAATTATGGACATTTTTAATGAAACGTTTATCGCACTAAAAGGGCGCTGAATAATATTAGTGTTAGCACCAAACTTTCTCTTGTTCTATAAGATCCCGACGTTTTCCGTCGAAGAATCGCTGCCATTTTGTCACCTGAAAATAGAAAAGAAAATAATTATTAAAATTTGTTTATTTATTTAAATATTATTTAATAAAATATTACAATACTCTGCAATTTCTCCCAAAGGAAATAGAAACTTTTGGATTAAATTTTTTCTATATCCTAAGATTGAAATAGAAATTACTTTTTATAGTCGTTTTTTTGATAATATCTTTGACATGCAATCCTGAACTTGATTTGATTTTTATTTTTTAAAACATATATTTAATGGGGAAAAAAAAGTGTTATAATAGTTTCAAAAACTGAAATAAATATAAAATTATTGATTTTCAATATAGGGTTGAATGATGGTTTTTTACTTTTATCACGTCTGACCTAATCGGTATAGCTATTTCACTTCAAATGTCCGATGAAATACGTCCGTGACTATACTGAATAGTTTTGAGGTGTGTTATTTAAAAAAAAAAAAAAAATGGTGAGTGCTTTATATATCTATATAAAGCATCATCAAAAATTTCCATTTTTATTCTCTCTAGAATACCACTTACGATGCTTTTGTATTATGTCCATTGTCTTTTGCAGAATTTACTATTCATAAACGTAAAATTCATACAAAAAAGAAATCATTCTGACATCCCATCTCTCTCTAAATTACAATTATACAACGAGAACTAATTTTTTTTATTTTATAAAATATTCTTTCTTTTCTTCTTTATATTTATTTTTATTATTATTTTGTTTCACAAAAATTATTCTCTATAAATAAAAAAATAAAATCAAAATGAAAATTATTAATGTAAATTTCCACTTATGCGTGAATGTTAAAAATTTATGGATTTTACTGGTGAACTTTGTAAAAATGTCAATTAAAATGAAACTCATTGAATTGTGAAAATAAGTGAATTAAAAATGGAACATTGATTGGTTGTATACAGCCAATTAGTTTAAAACAAATTGACTTTTGGTTATATATTTGTTTTTGATAAAAGAAAATAGAAAACAAATATAAAATTAATAACTGTAATAAAATTCTTAATATTATTTTTTTTTTTTATTATTTTTCGATCAACTTTACCTATTGATTCAAATTTTTCGAATATATTTATTAACCGGTGAAAAGTATAAAAATAAAAATCAGTTGACAAGTTAGGAAAATATTTTTGGAATTAAAAAAAAATTTAAGAGATTTATTTCGTTTACGTGAGTACTTTCCGAGTATCATGTATAGAAAATCTCCTGTTTGAAATTCAGAACGAAAGTGAGATGGATGTCGTGAAAGTCTTGTTTTCATAATAATGAATGTACAGCAATTTCTATCCTAAATATAAATGGATTAAGAACACATGAATGATGTATATTTTCATGATAATAATGAAGTTTTAAAGTACCATCATTTGTTGCATTCATTTTGAAAGTGTAAAAATTGTCCTCTAAATTGTATACGCCGGTTTGAATTTTTTTTTTTAAATCCAGTAATGTTTGTATATAAGTGGCTGATTTTGATAAACAAATTTTACTAATATTAAATTAATTTATTTTGTTTACTAATTCTTTAAAATAATTAATATAGATTTAAAAAATCAGTTGTAATAAAAAATTATTAGTAATTTCTTACTAATTCTTTATCAGATTTAGAGAGTGAATTTTCCAATTTTTGCCCATTGAGTTTACAACCCTCTTTTATATATTATATCACATGCGAGGATAACAGATACATAAGTGGATAATCGTTTTACCATTACCTATATCTCAAATTTTCTTTCCCTTCACACCTCATGCTATTCAGTTTATTTTCCAACTATATATACTCAACCGCTGATGTAACATGCCGTAAGGTATAATTAGGAGAGGAGGGTGAACTTATCAAGTTAAATTCATCGATCAACTATAACACGTTGTGAAATTTTCATATATATGAAAAATGTTCATTTTTTTATCGATATATTTTTTATTTAATATACATCCGCTTTTTTTTAAGAGTAAATTATTTTTATATTACTATATAAAAATTACTAGATTTACAACTACAAACTACATTTTAGTACAGCGCTAACAGTATTTTAATTTTTCTTTTTGCAGATTCTATCCTTGATGGCTTATGGTGTCACGTACTTCAAAAATAAGGGCGAAAAAAAGAAGGGCACAGAATTCTACATATTCAGACTTTTTAGAACTCGGTCTATTTTTATGGTTATTTTTCACATTTTCTGAATGGAAATTTAACTTGAAAGTAGGGATCTCCGAGGGCTATTTAGTTTGAAAGAATCTTCTTGAAGCTGAGAATTCGTTATTAAGGTAAATTTTTTAATTTATTGAAATTTTATTACAAAAAATTTAGTTGTATTTTTTGACGTGACAACGTCTTACACCGAGGTCTAAGGAGTTAGTTAATCGATTACTTTAGATTTAATCTTGATGCCACACTTATTTTTTTCAAATTTGGAAATTAATTTTTTTTTATAGTTTTCTATATTACCGACCGGTTAAAAATTTAAAATGTTAGTACAGCGCTGACTGTTGACCCAAGCAGCACGGAATATCCCTTGAATACCACCGTGTAATATTCCCATGATCTTCCTGGAAAATCAAAATGTCCGCATCATGGGAATATTCCACAGTAACATTCAGGGTATATTCCAGTGACATTGAGGGTAATATTAAAGGAATATTCCAGTGATATTGAGGGAATATTCCACGGTTATATTGAATTTTTTTTTAAGTGTTGAAATAATAGAAATATGTTATAAATTGTTATTTGAATAAGCAGGAAGATTAAAAACACATTTAAAAAAAAAAAATTCAATGTAACCGAGGAATATTTCCTCAATATCACTGGAATATTTCCACAATATCACCTGAATCTCCGCTTAATGTCACTGGAATATTCCATGAATGTCACCGAGGAATATTCCCTCAATGCCACTAGAATATAGCCTGAATGTCACTATTGAATATTCCCATGATGCGGACATTTTGATTTTCCTAGAAGATCATGAGAATATTCCACTGTGGTTTTCAACGGATATTCAGGGAATATACCGTGCTGCTTGGGGACAGTAGACACTGTATGAAAAATTTATTTGATTCAACTAATCGGTTACTTATTTATTATTATTAGATTATTCAATAATTAAATTAATAAGTAAAAAATCACTGATATTGATAAATTATTATTAGATTTAGTTTACAGTAAAAGCGTGGCAACCCTACATAATAGTACCAACCATGTAACACAAAACTGTAAATAATGGCGGTGAAATTTAAAAAGTGTTGCTAAATAAAATGATTTTAGAAAAATTAGAATTTAATAGAGAATAAATAAGAATACTTTGGATATTGTTACATACTTTTAGGTTATGGTGGGGAAAGTTTAAATGGAATATATTGTCAAGTTATAGGGCGATATGTCGCTTTTGTAATGTGAACTATTAGGAGATTTCAGTTGTAAGTTCTGATGAATTGTCTCAGATTGCGTGAAACGGGATAAGACTGTCTGTGGCATAGTCCCAAAGTTGTTCGAGTGAGTTTGGTGCATTGTATGGGTTTGTAATGACAGTGATTGTGTCAAATTTGGAACACAGAGTAGTAGTAGTGGTGGTGGTGGTGGTGGTATTAGTATATAACTAGATGAGAATAGTGACTTGCCTTCTGTAACGAAGACATAGATCGATGCAGGCTTAGTGTTAGATGCACTGCACGTGTAATTGCCCGTATCCGATTCGATCGCTTGGCGAATGGTTAGCTTGCTTTGGGTTGGTCCTGATTCGGTTAATACAACAACGCTTCCACGCGTTGTGTCATAGTTTATCATTCTGCTATTGTGATACCAGAACACGTACTGCGGTGGCGTTGGACTCTGAAATTAAAATTTCATCCATTACTATATCGTTGAGAGCATATTCCCAAGGGTATTATGTGTATATAGTGGGTGCTTATTATTCTTCAATGAACCTCACCAACAGTTGTTATATGTATATATATATACTTTCAAAGGCGCATTTTACAATTTTAAAATTGTTCCACCCACTTTCTCATTCTTTGCGTCCATTCGCTAAAATATTTAACCGCGTTAAAAGGATTGCATCTTTTATTTTAAAGGGAGAAAGAAATGATCATCTAACAATATGTATACGGTATAAAAAGATGTTTTTATTTATTTTTGTGTTTGACTTTTGGAAATTTCTTTTGTTATCGGAATTCTCTTTGGTTTATATAAGAGAATTTCTGATTTATTTATTTTTATACATTTATGAAGCCGTTTTCGCAGTGTGGATAAAATTTAATCCTCCGAGAGGTTAAAGGCAGTAGATATATTCTGCGCAGAAGCAGAATATCTCCACCTCTCGGAGGATTAAATTTAACCATACGGTGAAAACGGTCTCTATGTATCTTTAAAATCGTAATTTAGAAGCCATAAAAATATTTGTGAGCTTCGTGGAAAAATAATGTCAAAAAAAAAATTTCCTCTGTCTCTTAAAAATAATGAACATTAATTGTATACGGTCTGCATAAATTTTATCTTGAAATTTACCTGTTGGCTTTTTTTAATCGTTAAAAAACAAAATTGATACAGTAGCGACATAAAAGAACCCCTTAATAATGAGATCATTTTACAATGTTTTGTATACTTTATTATCATGTGACAATATTATTATGTTATTACTATAATAATAGCAGATTAATTTTCTTCTCTCTGATATACCTATAATAATGTACTTTCATTTTCTCGATTTTCGTTTAATATATATATAATATTTTTCTTTGTTCTATTTTCTTTTTGACATTTTTGAAATATCTCTACACACATATAGACCTCAAAAATGGTATTTTCAATTATTATTTTAGAAACCATATTGGCATCGTGTTTATCTTGAACAATGCATCGATCTGCTCAGCAGGTTGTAAAGCAATAAAGATGCGGTTAAAATACGGGACGGAAATTTCGTTGTGCCTCATTCATTTTATTATGGATTATTTATGAACTATAAATTATTATTATGTGTACATTGTTCTATATTTAATCTCAAATAATTCAGTGGACATTTTTTTTTTTTTTATTATATTTTAGCATAAATATTGACATTTTTACAATGTTCTAACACTTTTGATAAAGACAAATTTAATACATCGATTAAATTTTACTATTATAAAAAGTGTCATAAAGAATAATCGCGCAAAATTGAAATATTTAAAAATGAAATAAAAAGAAAATATTAAAAAAATTATTAAAATTTAGATTTTTTAAATATATGTTTAATTTAAATTTAATTTTTAAATTAAGTTGTTTCACAGATATAGCATTTTTAAAATGAATTTTAACAAAATTGCGATAGTGAGTGATAATTAAACTCGTAAATTTTGTTTCGCTCTTTAACAAGAAACTGCCCGTAATTTGTGGATATTCAAATAACATATTTCATTAATTTTTATGGATATTTAAAAGAGGTGAGAGTTAATGATTTTTTTTTAAAGGTCAATTTATTAAATTCGAAAGTTTATGTACATGCATTCATTATCTGATAGCGGAAGAATTAATTTAACGTGAATATTTTTTATTAGATAATATTTTCAATATATTTCTACTATTATATATTTTTTTTTTTTTACTATATTTTTTTCTACCATTATCTTTTTAGAAAATATTTTTATGAAATTAAAGTTTTTGTGACTTAGTTTTACAAAATAAAAAAAAAAGACGAACTTTATATTAAAAGCAGGAAAAATAAGTTGCAAAGTCGACAAAATTTCAAATACTATATATATTCGAAAGTCGATTGATAGTCTTGGTTTTATGTTACTATAAAGTTTGTTATATTATAGGTATATATACTGAAAGGGAACGAGAAATATGAAAGTTTTTATTAGCCAATCAAAATGTAAAACATAGATCTTATGGGTTCACTTTCTGAGAATTTTCCTGTGTTAATTTCGCATCTTAAACGAGAAAGATTTTTAATAGGATGTTGTAATAAAGTTACAATATTGAAGCACATGTTTTGAGAATTTTATCCTTTAAATTAGGTTATATTTCGATATTTCCATATGCAAGGTAATAAAATTTATATATTAAAATATTCATTTTAGGGTTTATTTAAATATGTTCACGCATTTTGAATAATTGTAATTTCGACGTGACAACGTTTTACTCCGAAGTCTAGTTATACGATTACTTTAGGTTTAGTCTCGATGCCACACTTATTTTTTTCAAATTTGGAAATGAATTTTTTTTTATAGTCTTCTATATTACCGACCGGTTAAAGATTTAACATGTTAGTACAGCGCTGACTGCTGACAGTAGCCACTATATGAAAAATTTATTTGATTTAAATAATCGGTTACTTGATTATTATCAAAGAAATATTTATTTGTATCAAATAAATATTATTTAAGTCAATTAAATGGTATTTGTTTTAAGTACAAAAATTATTGGTTCAAATACAATTTATTTAATTCAAATAAAAATTATTTGGTTCAAGTAAATATTTATTTGATAATAGTCAATTAATCAAGTATTTGAATCAAATTAATTTTTTTAGTGTGTTTAATTACAAAATAAATACTAAATATAAGTCTTATAAAATATATTTTAATTAATTAAAAAAAATGTCTCCGCCCGTGTAATGAATACAGATCTCGGTTTAATTTTTTTTAGTCTATTTACTTTTTAACATCGTGTGTGTGTCAATAAGTCAATATAGAAAATTTATCCAAATATGAGCAATATATTTGATATTATATTATTATTTTATTATATTTATTTTTAAAAAATAAAATAAAATTATCTGTTAATGTTATTTGCTATTGTGAATATTATATTTGGAAAGGGAAATAAATTACGTTAAAATAATAAATAAATATCATATTACAGTTTATTTTAAAAGTAAAAAAAAAAAATATATAGAGAAGATTTAAATGTCAAAAGATCAATTCCCTTAAGGCAAAGCGTAAGGTTCACGTAACTTCCACTCAAGTTTTTGCGACGATAGGGAAATTTGATTCCTCTCTTTGCCCTTGGCCCATCGTCGCGACATCCACTTAACAGGATTTCCGCCCAGTGAGTTTAGCGAAGATTAGCAATTCGACGCCACTAGAGAGAGGGTTGAAAGGAAAGGGGGGTTAGTAGAGAGAGAGAGAGAGAGAGAGAGAGATTATGGTTTATATATCGACATGCTGACAGGTACACACATTTTACGTTTACATTAACACGCAGCTTATATATCAATTTGTTTCAACTTTATTCACTTAGATACAGAGATTTTTGTTTCTTATAAGGTTTCGTTCAATAAAAAGGGTTAGAAAAAGTTATCAAGAGACTTAAAGAACAGTGATTGATGATAAAATTCAATCAAGTTGATTGAAATTTTTATACACGCATAAATGACATCTTTTTTTATTTTAACTATATGGCTTCATTTGAATTGACTAAAAAAAAGGGTTTCTCTATGCTTTCCCTAATACAATTTATCTATATAATAACTATTTTTCATATTTGTTTCAAGTTTAAAAAATTTTTCCAATATAACTAAATTTTGTTTTGTTATTTTTAATAATTATATTATCATTCTGTTTTTATTATTATTCGTTGTTTAATAAATTTTTTATTTTTCAGGCCTGGCACAAATAACAAACTAAAGGACAAGCAGAGATTTTTCGGAAGTAGTCCATTAAGGAACAGGAAGGGACAAAGTTGTCATTGCTCCGAGGAAGGATTCATCGAACGGTGAGTCGTTTTTTTTTTGTTAGCCCTTTTCTATTTATTGTTTATAAGTTAATAAAATTAAAACAAAGTTAGACACTGTTTATTATGATAAGAGACGTCGTCTGACTAAAAACGACCTCTTCTACTTAAAACGCGTTTTTTTTATATTTCCTTTTTCATGCTTATAAAAATATTACTTAATTTTCTCCGAGACAATTTTTTTTTGCCTTTTTTATTTATTTTATTTTACCAAAAAAATATACAGAAAAAAAAATTTTAAAAGAAAATTTTCGAAAAATATTGAAAATGATATATCTGTACAATAATAGATATCATTTTGTCGTTTATGTTGACCGTGATTGTTTTTTTTAATTAAAATAAAAATCAATTCAAAAACTTTTCAAGTGCATAGAAAAAAAAAGTTAGGTCAACACTATTCTCTCTGAGATCTCTTATTCTGACAAATTCAACAATGATTTTGGTCTGAATGAGCTCGTATAGATATCCATCGGTAATTCCATTAAACTTAGTAAGTAAACTTAGATGGCAAATAGTATAGTAAGCGCAATAAATGGGAATTATTTACTGAAGAATCCAACAGTAAGAATTCTCAATTTCAAACCAAAATCTCTTTTAAACAACTTCGCAAATAGGAGTTAGGACATGAAAGATTTAGGTATTTGTCTCTTATTTCTCGTTTTTATTATTATTTTTTTTTTTTGTACTTTTTGTCGGGTTTCTGGGCAAAAGTGTGAGAAAAATAAGTGTCTTTTTAACGATATAGGTTTAAATAGAAGGAGGAAGGAAAATGGAAAATAAAATCCCGTAAAATATATTAGAGACTGTGTCTGTAGGGGTGAAATAATTTCATTTAGAATCGGATTCCACAGGGGTGTCAGAATTGGATAAATTTTGTAATTTAGTTTAATAAGGTCGTCGTTGTGTAAGAAAACAATTCATCTTTTCTCTTTAGTGTTTTTTTTTTGTTAATTTTTCCTTTATAGCAAAAAGAAAGGTGTCAAACATTTTCTTTCGCATAATGAAATTTTGTTTAGAAATGAAAAGAAATGTCAAATGTAATTTTATTTTATTTTTTTTTGAGTTGATTCTATACTGAAAATAGGAATAGATATATCATTGGCTTACAATTGTAAGGTGGAGTGAAGTTCAGATTGAAAAATGGACGGTAACAAACGGTTTTCTTCGTTCACAAAAGTCACACGTCTTGTAGTTGTCGGAGGGATGTAATCGATCTTGTTGGAAGGGAAACGTGCAGTTTCACGGTTTTTGTCAAACCTATTTATTGGTTCAGCAACGCTCCTTTTTTCACAAGATTTAATTTAATTGGGCAAAAACGTTCGAATACTATTATTCTCTTAAAACAAATATTATTACAGTTAAAAGAAAGGAATTAGAGTATTTTTTGTTTGTTTTCACAATGCAAATGTTTTTTAGTTTTGAAAAAGACTAAAGAAAATCCATATTGAAGTGAATCTTTACGTGCAGGAATGTAAAATAAATTTTAGTTGTTCTACTTTTTAATAATACTTGTTAAAATCTTAAAATTGCGTGTTGCATATTATACTAGTCATATTTACGACTTCATTTTACTTTTTTGTTTTTTTGTTTGTACAAACAACCATTGCAAATGTAAATTAAAAACCACACACACATATATATGTGTTTTTATGTGAGATGAGAAAATGAAAATGTTTTTTTTTTTTAACTTTTTAATAAATTGATGTTTTGTTAGTTTTAGAGAAAAATTTGTATTTATAAAAAATACGTTTGCATTTTATGCAGAAAGAGAAATAAAACATGAAAATTAGTGTGTAAAAGTCAAGTATTACAATTGTTTATTGCAAATTATTTTAAATTTAACTTTTCCTGAACTAATTATATCCAAGAGAGAATTTTTTTTTTAAACAAATAAAATTTAAATTATTATATTTATTTAAGAGATAAAAACCTATTTATTTAGTACAAATGAAAATTTTATTTCTTGCAAATATACAATTTATGTAGCATAAATAAAATTTTTATTTGTTGCAAATAAATTTCATATTTCCAATAAATAGAAATTTTATTTATTACAAATAAAATTTTTATTGGAACGAAATTAAATTTATTTGTAACAACTAAATCAATAGAAATAAATTATTTTCATTTACCTTTTCTATTATGCATACGAGATTTATAATAGATCCTACGTCGACGTGGTGCTCACCACTCCCTAAGATAGTTGCTTCTGGTACCACTATTTTTAGATTCACAAAATGTGAAACAATTCCAGTACTTCTCGAAATCTGCAACAAAAATTTCGTAACGTTATGATAGTAAACATTTTGTTTTTATATTTTTAAAACCAAGTTATTAATTAATTTGGAATTTGTTTGTTTCTTTTTTTTTTTAATAAAAGCATTTATAATTTTACTAAAAATTATATCAAAATTACATGTAAGCACGTAGTAACATTGAAATGCAAAATGTACGCATATAATTTTAATAAAAACTGTGATAAATATTTTTTTTTAAACTTGTAAAAATAATTGAAAGTTATTTAAAAATATTATTTATTTATTATTAATTAAATATAACTAAATAAAATAATAATTAAAGTATAACTGAATAAATAAATAAAATAGAGGTTAAATAAATGATTTCGAGGTTGCATTGTTTTGTAAAAGGGCCTTAATTTTCTTAGCTAATATATTCCATTGGAAAAGTAATTACTTTAGGTTTGAATAGGTTTCTCAATAAAGGACTTGATTCCAGGCAGTAAGCAGGTACATTTCGAGCATTATGTTTACATTGAGTTACAAACAAAGGGTGGCCACCTCTTAAATTACAGAAAATTTATTCGAATCTCTCGTCAATCGTAAAACGGAATTTGGCATGTTTAAACATGTTCGTTTATAATCGAGTTTATCGTCGGTCGTGTAAATTTTGCCAGTGATCGGGTTTTAAAAAATAAAAATAATAAATTACCATTTTATTAGGATTTTTATCGATTTTCAACGTAGATAACTTTCGGAATTTTCAATTTTCTTTTTAAAGAAATGATTCATTTTTTAATACGAAAAATAAAAATTTTACTTTACAAAAATCCCAAAAAGTTTCATGACAATTTCGACAAATGTTAACCCAAAAAATAATTATTGAAAAAAGTGAAACAGGGTTTTTTAATTTAAAAAAATTTTTTTTTTTGAATTTTGTCTACTTTGGTCCATTGTAGGTTGGAAAATAAAATTGTGCTATCAAAAAAGTGCCCTTTTTTGTAGGGAACTCTCTCTCTCTCTCTCTCTCTCTCTTTCTGCATAATTTTTCTAGAATTTTCAAGGCGATGTTTTAAAAAATTTTAATTTCAAAATTTTTTATCCACTTTTTTGCATATGAAGTTCGTTGTTCAAAAATGGTTATAATATTTTGCAAGAGAGTTGACAGTAAAATAATTGATGTAAAATATATATATATACATTTATTCTTGTTTTTCATGCGTGGCATGTAGTATACAAATTCATATATAAATTTCAATAAAATGCACATTGGTCTTGATTTAATCTGCATATTTAAATCGATATTTTATGTGTGATAAAAATGTTGGGAGATTTCCTGTTTTGTTTTCTCGTTAGCTTTTTTTTATGATGTGCCATGTTCGATGTAATAACTGTCATTTGAAGTGTACATTTTATGATGAAGCCAGATTATTAAGTTGTTTTTGCAGTTAATCACAATCATTTCACTTGATTGTTCAGTATAAATATTGGCATTTTTTTTTTACGAAATTCGACTGTTGCATAATATTTTTTCTATTACCAAAATAATATTTACAGTAAATATTTGAAAAATGTTGTTACACTTTTTAGTTTTTTTGTTTTAAATTTTTGTTTTTAATTCTTATCTGATTTTCTTTCGCCTGAAAAATTTCTTTTATGCTGCAATCTGTAAAAAAGAAAATTTGTCGGTTGATCGATAAAATTCTTGATGAGAATTCCTTGGTTTATCAGGTCTCTCTAAAGTAAAATAGTATTTCAAGGTCGAGGAAATTGTAATTTAAGAAAGAGAATTGTAGAAAAATGTGAAAGTTAAAGGTCATGAGATTGATGAGAGGAGAAAAACACTAAAAAGATAAAAAAGGTTGTCTGCTTCAGATAGTGAGAGGTTCAGTTTAAAACCTTTACCCTAAAGTAAAATTGAATTCAATTTATTTTAGGTAAGGAGCAGTTTTGTAAAATTTGACATTTTCGATTATAAATTCAGAATTCTAAATTTTTTTTCTCTAAAAACTCTATCTTGCATTTTAATTGCAATTTTATTAAATACTAGCAATACACGGTCAACTTTCTAATATAAAGACATTTAAATCATTGTGATAAACTTATTTTATCATTCAAAATAATGATAAAATTATAAAAAAATTCAATTTTTCATTAGGCAGACCATTTTATTGCAAATTCTTACACAAAATACACCCAACAGTGTAGAAAAAAATTGACAGCCCGATATAAGTAGGGGAAGACACCTATTCCAACATTAAAGCACTTTTTGTCATAGAAAAATTGACAAAAAAATTCAATTCTT